ATCATATACTCATCTGGCTTCAGTTATTTGATCTTGACTGTCTATTTAATGGAGAAAAATGCTGACTTTGGCTCTTTCTTTCTCTCCTGTTCAGTCCGTTCCTTCTGGCAAAAAGTATAAATTTGTTGCAACAGGCCATGGCCAGTACAAGAAGGTGTTGATAGATGACACTGCAGAGCAATAGTATGCCTGGAGAACTCATTAACCAGGTAGGTGGGATATGACCTTGCACTGTGTAACAAAGTCCTGGACTCTTCTGGCAGGATGTTGGGTTATTTCTGCCAGCTGCACTTTGGGTGAATTGGAAGGTCCTGTATGGCAACATCTGGAGCCTTGCTTCCTCTGGGCCTGACTGTCTGAGCTGGAACGGTGTGGGTACACAGCAGGGGTTTGTTTTTGCCTCTGACTTTCTGATGCTGATAGGAAGCTGGATACCTGTGTTAGTTTAAACTTCAGGATAAGTCCCTTAGCTGCTGCTGTTTGGGTGAAGATGTGTTTGCCTTTGCTAGTTCAAAGGAACAGTCTCAATGAGCTCTCTTTTTTTATGCTCTCTTACGTTGCAAGGAGAAGTAGATATTTGGAGGTCATTCTGTCTGAGCATGGGGCTGATGTACTTCTGAAATTCAAGTGTTTCTGGGGTATAATTCCCAGATTTACTGAATTAATTATGGGGAAAACTTTTCATGGCTCCAGTAGCCTCTTGGAACGAGTTGATAATAAGGTTGTAGCAGGGAGGATGTGAGCAGCTGTTGTGCTGGGTAGACCAACAGAGCAGAAAGAACTACTCTCTGATGTGCAGCAAGGGGGAAGGCAGGGCTGGGTTACTGTCTCTGTGCTCTCTTGAAATGGCTTTTGGATCTCATGTTCCTATTGTGTTTGTGCTCCTAGACACCCCGGTGTTATCTTGAGTGGATGATAGTGGATTGCATCAATAAGGAAGAATGGTGTAGAGGGAGGTGATAACCAGTTGGATCCAACTGGGCAGCATCTGGCACAATGAGTGGAGAGGAAGTTGTTGAGGGTGAAAACAAGCTCATTCTCTTTTTTTGCTACTATAAAAAAGAAGCTTTATTTCTTAGCCAAGCTTATAAATAGCTCTGTCTGCTACAAAACACCTTTTGTTTCTGAATTCTTCTGGGACCTGTGTTCCTTCCCTTCCTTCCCCTCCCCCCCTTAAGGAGATGGCTTCTGAGTGCAGCATATTGTTTTGTTTGTTTCATTTTTTAGTGCCCATTTGGAGGAGAAGCCCTTTTGAGTGCTACTCTGAGAAGAGCAGCAGTACAAAACTCAAGGCTGCCCGGAGATATGTTTTTAGCCCACAGAATTTGTATCCTCAGCTTACTTCTCTGCCTGTGACTTTGAGAAACCTATTTTAAGGTCTCCTCTCTGATCAGTCTCTTCATTTTCCAGAAGTCTGTTTCAGTGTACCAAGTGGGAGCCTACTGAGCTTCAGTTCTTTATAGCAAACAGGTTTTGCTAGGTTGTCAGCAGGTTTGTTTGCCCTACCTGAGCTTCTCTAAGCAGCTCAAAGGAAAGTGCCTTTGGCTCTGGTCTTTGCCTTTCAAGAAAGGATGCTGGGCAGGGACTGTCACGACATGTGCTCTAGGATCCACCCAGTACTCCAAACAGCTGTGGCACAACACTGTTGCACTGTGGGTTTGTTCAAAAGGAAGTTGTTTTTTTTTTTTTTTTTTTTGTGAATAGCAAAATGACTGCAATAGCTGAAGGAGCTTGGCTTGTTTCTGTTCTTAGGTTTTTAGTTGGCTGTTTGGTATGTTGTGAGCTCACTGCTCCCCAGCTCCTCTCCACCCCCTGAACTATGTTCATCCTTTTCTGTACTACTGGATCACTTTGTCATTGCCTTCTTGCTCCCAAACCCTTCTGGATTACCTCTGTGTCACTTCCTTAACACCACCTTATCAGCTTTCTAGTTGCTTAAGCACAGGTACAGTTTTTCTTCCTCCCCTTCCTTCCTGAGCTGCAGGACCTCAGTGCAGCCTTTGAAGCAAGAGGTTTTCTCTGAGTGGCAGTTTGGGCTCTTAGCCCTCTGCCTGAGGCTGTTTGACATTGAAAAGAACCAAATTCTGTGCCCATTAGCATCCCCCTTCCCTTGCTCAGCACAGCAGCTCAGACTGGGACATACTGCACTGACTTCCAGTGCAGAGCCATTGGTGAAAATCTGTTGCTTACGAGACTCTGTCCTTTGTGATACTCTCATGTCAGGGTCTGTCTCTGCAGAACTTGCCACGCTTGCTGTGTGTCTCTGTCCTTTGCTTTTGGGGTAAAAGGGCTTAAACTGTGCATCCAGACCTGCCTTCCTTTGCTTCCTTCCTTCTGTTTGGGGGAATCATTCTCCCCAATGGCATTTCTCCATCCTTCATCCCTGTGCAGTGAGGCTGGGTTTGTGGATGCAGCCTGGTTGAAAGCACAGCAGATGCAAAACATGTAAGCCTTAGGTGAGAGTTGCTGGTTTGTTCTGGGTGGTTGTCCTTGCTTCAGGACAAAAGCTGGATTAAAGCACAATTGCTTCTTAAACCATCCTCTCTGGCCAGATTCACTTTGTCTCCCAAACGTAACTGATGTTGGCTGTTCTCCCTCATGTTAATTCTATGGATCTCATGCATGCTGATTCCTAAGCATAGGTATCCATCCACTGTGCTTCAGTAAGGTGCCATTTATTGCTCATCTTTATCTGCATTAGGCATTCCACATTTTACACAGCACTCTTTGATTTCTGTGTTTGTGTTGCTGTGTGGATCTGTTTCTATAGCCTTCTCTCTCAGCAATGTTAAATTATCCTGCAGAGGCTTACCTAGCATCCAGTTGTGATTACTGGTGTGTTCCAACCTACCTCTTTTCAGCTTTTTCTTGGAAAAGTGGGGGTGGGGTGGGGTGGAGAAATCCTATCTTTAGATAATTGGGTTATCCTCTTCCCCCCCCCCACCGTTGAATAGGAAAGGGGTTACAAAATAGAGAAGACCAGCAAAGTGAAAACTTAAGTGAAGGTTTGATGATAACTGAGCTGCTCTTATAGCATCATTACAAAACTGGAAGACTTCAAAAAAGCAAAAGGGGTTCTTTGTTTTGTTTCCAAGTCTCTTCACAGTTTGGCTTGAGGAAATTTTGGTCAGTTCTGTATCCTCTATACACAAAAAGAATATAAAGAGCTGTGTATGGAGTTTCCTATTTGGACTAAACATGGCAATCCTATATTAGCTGTGTAGGAACACCCTAGCCTATGACAAAGTCCCTTGTGAAACAGAAATAGCTGATCTCCCAGCTTTCAGGCTCATAAACCTGCTGGCAATGAAGTTGCAAAGGGTGACTAATACTTAAAAACACAGCTGTCTCTTGGATGGGCAGAGCTGGGGACTTTCCTTTTAAATACCCTCTTTTTTTCAGGACATCAGGGACAAGCAGGTAGGCAAATACCATCATGTTCCTCTTGAAAATGAGACTACATGTGGTTAGCAGAGCCCCTAAAAAACCAGTATCTTGTTAAATACACAGAGTTGGTATCCAATGTGCTCAAGAAGGCTTGTTTAGTTATGGAAACCATCATCTGTATTTGAGAAAATGATAAAATATGTAACAGAACTTGATTACTGAAATAGTCTTCTGTGCACTATGATTTAGTAGACTGACCTAGGAGGATGTCAAGTGATAATGCCTGTTTTGTTAGCCAGGGGAACTGCTTTGTGAGAGCGGGATATCTTATGCTGTCCCTTGTCTGTGCTGGTGAAAGGATGAGTTTCATTTTGTTCTCAGCAAATGGGTGAGGGGTGCACTTTCAGTGGAGGAGATAGAGAAGATAGCTCAAAATATATGTATGTACTCTCTTTGTGTGTGTTTTCTAAGACTCCCTAGAGATGTGGAGCAACCCAGATTCCTTCATATCTCATCTGCAACTGCTGCTGCTTCCAGGATCAAGATAGGTCTTAGATAAACACAACAAAACCCCTAAGATTCTATTATCCTTCTTTAAACTGGTCTTTTTCTACTGGCAACTTGTCACCTTCACTGTGTCCTTCCCCTCCGTTCCCTCTGTTACTGCATCCAGTGCTGCTTGCTGGCTCTGTTTAAAACAAGCGCATACCTGTTTTCCTGTGACCTGTGGATGTGGTATGTTATACACTTAAGCTTATAAACATACGGAGAGTAGCCCTTAAACCTGCAGCATGAGGCTGCTGGCTTTGAGGGGTTTTATTTAATTTCCTTGTTTTCCTTACACTTGGCTTCAGTGGACAGTAAACCTGGTCCTAGGTGTTCTCCTGCTTGGGTGCCCTGTAGGAATCTCCAGAGGCATGGAGCTGCCTGGCTTCAGTTGGCTGACCATCCTGATGCTGTTCTGTTAAAGCTCTTGGTGTGCTCCTCAGCTGATTTGGGTCTAAACCGGCTCAGCTCAAACACAGTGCTGATCTTTGTCATGGGTTTGGTAGCCAGCTCCTTCAGTTTCCGGGCGTCAAAACGTGGCTTGTGCAGAAGGATGGGCAAGCGGCGGGGAAGAAAGACGTTTTCTTCCTTCCGTGGCTTCTTCTCTTCTGCTTGCTGCTTCGTCTCCTTGTTGAGTGTCACCTGGTATAAAATAGCATCCCACATTTTCATGGCTCTTGATTTAAACAGCATGCAGTCTTGGTTGATGACTGCTTGAGCAGTGTCCTCTTTACTCCCTTCCTCCTGTTCCAGCTTTTCTGGCTTGGGCTCTGGGAAGCTGGGTGCTTCTGGCTGTACCATCAAGTGCTTCCTGAGGCGATGCCAGCCACTGGCACTGGTTCCAGATGGTCTTGCTGCTTCTACTGATGGTGGTGCTGGCTCAGCTTTGAGGGGAAGGCTGGTGTTGGGTAAGCTGGGGGTCAATTGAGTTTGAATGATGTCTTCTGCCTTGGTGTCTGTGGAGGTGGACCCAGTACCATCAGCTTGTGCTGGCGTTGCTGTTGGTGGGCGTGCTTGCCTCCAGGGAGCACTGGATGTCGTTTGTTTTAGGATGTCTCTGTCTTCCTTGGGTAATTCAGAAGCTGTCTCTGATCCAGATATTTCAGTGTCACTTCTATGAGTTGTAGGCATATTGCTGTGGGCATCAGAGGTGCTTGGCTTGGGTGAAGGGGCCTTGATGGACTCTTCAATAGGAACAGGCTTGGGAGCTTGATCAGCAGGTTCTGTGTCTGCAGCAGGTTCTGTGTCTGCAGCAGGAAGGAGGGGAGGTTCCAACAAGGGAAGTGTGGCGTTGCTGTCATCAAGTGAGGTGGGTATGTGCTCTGGAGATGGTTCAGAGCAGCTTGTTTGAGGTGCTGGGGAAGAAGACCTTTTGTCTTCATGGCTTACGGTTCCTTGTGTCAGGTTTGATGTGGGAGTCTTAGCCCTTGGTGGCTTGACACTGTGGAAATAAGTGTTCACCTTGGTGACGTAGGTAACTTCTGGTGCCCTTTCTTTACTGGAAGGAGGAGGCTGGGGGAAAACAGATGGGTCACATGGGGAGGGAAGGTGGGAGCCCACGTCTTCTGGCTGATGTGTAGTCTCGGGAGCCTCTGGTTTGTGTAGCAGGGGCATGGCTGAGGAGGTTGTGAGCAGGACATGTTCAGCAATGCGCCTCTGCTCAGTGACCTTCAGTGTGAAAGGCTTGCTCTTTCGGAAAGGGGAGGGGGCGCGGTGGTTGACGGGCCTGATGGAGATGTGAGTGGGCAGGCTGGTAGAGGGGGATGCTGTGGTTTCAGGGATCTCTGCTGGGGGAGTGCTTTCATCGTACTCCTCTTGGTCAGGGCTGGCCTCGTTCACAGGTGAGAGGCTGGACCGGAAGGACTTGGCTTGCTCTGAAGCGAAGACAGCATTCTTTTTGGCTGCCTTTTTCAGCAGCCGTTGGAGCCGCACATTGTCCTTCCCAGGCTTTGGTAGGGTGGGAGGGGGAGAAAGGTGGTGGTGGATGGGAGCAGGCTGGATGGAGGATGATACTGTTATCAGCATTGTCATTTCCTGTGGAAAAAAAGAACAAAGTTTAGAGGTGGCATGGGCTTAGCCCTGGTGGGCTAGGTTCTGAAGCATTCATATGTAAGTCCTCCTCTTCCTCTCTCTAAAAGCTGTGAGTATGGAGGAAGTACTGTGGGAGAAGAGCATCAGTCTTGGTTTCCTTACTCTCCTGACATAACCTCAGCCAGTCTTGAGGGTGGGTGTGGCAGGGCAAGAGATGTTCTGGGGGAAGCTGTATTGCCAAATCTGGAGCTCTTCCTCTCCTGGCATTAGCACAAAATCCAATAAGAGCTCTTTGGGACCCCAGACATTCGTGTCTTGGCAAGTCCTAATGGGATTTGGAAGGAAACGTTGAGGGGAAACAAAGTGGGTCTGAAATCTTGAAGCTTTGAAACATCTCCAGAGGCACAAACCAGGAATGTTTCATGGCTTTCCAAATTTTGGTTATTAATACTCTGATACAATGTTACATACAACAGAACAGTCATAAACTACATGTGTCATCTGAGTCAAAGTCAACACTTGCCTTGATTGATTTCGTCTGGCTGAAGACACCCCTGTGAAATGCAGGGCTTCTCAAAAGCTGCATTTATCAGTGAGAAAGTGCTTTGTCACAGCACTAACTTGGACTGATCTTTTCTTGCTGCATGGAGCACAGGGGCAAATTTTTCCTCCTGCACTCCATTCTAGATAAAACCAAGTTTTCTCTTTCCCTTGGGAAGCTTTGCCACTGTCTTGCCTCTATCACTTACTATTCAGTGAAACAGAAGTGGCTTGTGGTCTGGGTCAGGTCTTATCTCCAATGGCAGTTGCAGCCCTTTGGCCAACACTGGGCTGCTCCTATGGGGAAGCATGGCTGCCTTTCCTGCTCTGTTGCTAACTCACCACCATCTCCTCTTCTTTCTGGTAAGCACTGGTCAGACTTCTGACAATGGAGCTAAGGGTCTGTGTTGGGGATAGAAAGACAAAGCTGCTCTCAGTTCTCCCCTTGCTCTTCCTGAGCAAGATGGGGAGCACCAAACACTCAGCCTCTGACCTGCAATGACTTTTTGGCAGCCACTAGAAAGAAATCTGACTCAATCCTGGCTCTTGCTCAGCACAGAGTTGCTGAGTTTTGCTATGAAATGAGACATAAATCACTGAGCTCTGTAGTCCCTGGTGGTGGATGCAACTGAGCATCCTGAAATAAGGAAGAGGAGGCTGGGGTGATGTCAGGCTTGCTCAGAGGGGCTATTTATTGCATGTGTTTTGCTTGGTTCCTGGTGGCTCCCAACCTGCTCTGGTTAGTATGGGTGTGTAGTGTGATACCTGCTGTGTGGGAAAGCTATCCTGAATCAAACTCTCAAAAGTGCAGAGCAGCTATTTGTGCTTCAGTGCCTGGTGTTAGCTTTGGGTTTGCAGTGCTGCTGTCAGCACTGGGCTGGGAAGGTGATCCAAACTGAGCAAGCAGGTGGTGTATCTGCCAAAACTGGTTGTGAATCAGCAGAGAAGGGTGACTCTTAAAAAAAAAAACAGGCAGCAGCAAATACAAGCACTTGAAGCTTTTGAACACTACACACTATCTCTTCAAGATCAAGCCCTCACCGTGGTGGATGAGCTGAGCAGAGGCTGTGGTGGGCAGGGGCTGGGCAGTGTCTAGCAAGTGGTGCACTCAGTACAGGAAGGACATGGATCTATTGGAGCAAGTTCAGAGGAGGGCCACAGAAATGATCAGAGGGATAGAACACTCCTATGAGGACAGGCTGAGAGAGTTGGGGTTGTTCAACCTGGAGAAGAGAAGGCTCCGGGGAGACCTTATTGTGGCCTTTTAATATGTGAAGGAGACTTATAAGAAAGATAGGGACAGATTTTTAGTAGGGTATGTAGTAGTAGGATAAAGGGTTACAGTTTTAAATTGAGATGGTTAAGACTAGATGTAAGGAAGAAGTTTTTTTATGGTGAGGGTGGTGAAACACTGGAACAGGTTTCCCAGAGAGATGGTAGATGCCTCATCCATAGAAACATTCAAGGTCAGGTTGGATGGGGGTCTGAGTAGCCTGATCTAGTTGAAGATGTTCCTGCTTATTGTGTGGGCATTGGATGAGATGACCTTTAAAGGTCCTTTTCAACTAAAGGTCCTATTCAAACTATTCTATGATTCTATGACTTATTTTGGCTGCAGGCATGAGAAACCTTCTGCAGTTTTGGTGAGGGGGCTTGGAGGGGATTTGTACCAGCTGGGGGTGACAACTGTCAGGCATTCCCAGTGTCTTATCAACTTCATGTTTTAGGCACAAGGCTGGGATTAGGATTTGCTTTGTTCTAAGAGCTACTCTTAGAAGCAAGTCTGCACTGTCCCCAAAAAAAGGCTGAGACCCCATTCTTCATCATATATCTGCTCTCCTTCCCAATTTCATGGATATTTTATATTCTTCAGGGTCAGAAAGCCAAAATGTCTGTTGGAGGGGTATGTACTTTTTTTTTTTTGTGCAATGCCACTCTGGCTCTGTTTGTATAGGAGTTGCTAATTGCTTGCTGAGGTTTTTTGTGCTTTTTTTTAAATCTGCTGAAGGGGGAGCAAGTACATGCATCTGATGGTAGGATTTACTGTAGAATGATTTAATCTGCTCCTGTTTAATGTGGTTCCATGGACAGCCTGTACTACAAGATGAGCTATAGTCTAGCAGCACTGTTAAACCAGATTTATAAGGTTGACCTGCTTCAAGCTTGTATTGGGAATACTAAAGAGGTAGGGCAGCAAACTTCCCAACGACTGATCAGCTCATTGACTGCTTTGCTTTGTCCCATGGACTGCTGCAGCCCAGAAAAATGCAGCTTCCCATGTGAGTCAGAGAAGGATCTTGCCTGGGATTTGCTGCAAACTGCCAGATGCTACAGAGGAGGGCATGGGGATTCTTGACGTGGGAAGTTTAGATACAATATGCATGCACAAGGAAGGTTTTCCTTCTGTTCCCAAAGTTAGAGGCTGCTTTGTGCCCTATAACATCAAGATTTGTTCTCTTATAGTAGTCTGTGCTCTTGAAATCACTCTTGCTACTGTCTCAGCATCCCATCTGACTTGAAACCTGCTGTACTGTGGATCTTGGAGACCTTGTGGTGTGTAGTAACTTCTATGGCACGTGACTGTATTGGAGTCTCTGTGCTTGACTAGTGAGGCAGAGAGATGCTAAGGGACAGCAAAAGGAAATCAGCTGTTAATTTATTTGCCTTCCCTGTCATGCTTGGCTTTGTTTGAGCCTCCTTCAGGGCTTTGTTTGAGCCTCCTTCAGAGCTTTGTGTGCTCAGGAGAAATTCTGCAACAAGCAAGATTTGTCTTCCCCCCCCCTTGTTTTTGCTTCATTATGTGGCAAAGGGACACTCAGGCTTGCTTTGTTACCAGTGGAAAACTCATGGACAATGGGGGAAGTACTGCCTGAGAAACTTGTGTGAGTTTGTGATAAGCTGGAAGGAAATAAAGATAGAAGTCAAGAGGCTTTCAAAGGGTTAAGTTTCCTTGCTGGTGGTTGAGTGCCCATGGGTGGATGTGTGGTCACCCACACTTGGACCCCAACTGTTCTCCTGACTTCACTCCATCTGCAATCAGCCCCAAATCAGGATTAGTGGGGAGAGTGTCAGCATGCGAGAATCATTTATCAAGTGATGGAAAACTCATTTGTGTCCTGGAGTCCCTTGGCTGCACCAGCTGTCGTGCGTGGAGCAGATGGAGAGCTGCAGGAACCCAACACCGCTGCAGATGGTCCCAAACCGAGCTGTGGCTGCCAGGGGCTGTAGGAACATACTCCACTTTAGTTGCTTTCTTGGGCTTGGGAGCAAACCTGCTAATCTCCTCCTTTTTGGAGTGGGAGACAGCTTGGCAGAAGTGCAGCTGTGACCTCTGCTGGGCATGCAGCCCTTGGCAACTGCTCTGCCATGAGCATGGACATTCCCAGAATGGTGGACTTTGACTGGGCTTTGTGAAAGTGGGTGGGAGAAAACCACCTGTAATTGCTAGACAAGATGCAGCCCATGGTATTGCTCATGAGAGGTCAAATGGTATCCATAACCTTGTTATTTTCTTGTCTTGCAGCTGAGCTTGGTCCTGGCTCGATGCAACCCTCAATGCCACTATTTCCTCTGCTCCACAGAAGATAATTGAAGGATGTTTCTCTTCTGGCTGATGTCAGTCTGCTTTGGTACAGCCTGACTCCTCTTGGGGTGTGAGCAATACCCCACACTGCCTTCAGATGGAAGAAAGGAACTATATCAGCTGGCAAAATCTATCTCTGTTTTAAGCTTCTATGTGATTCTTTGGCTTTTTTTTTTTAATCTCTCTCTGCTATGGAGATGGGAGGCTGTGGCTCTGTTCCCTCTCTTCTTAAGTGTTGGAAGAGAGTGATCTGCTGCCCTGCTGAGCAGGCAAGGCTTTTTCTATGTGATGACTTTCTCCTTTTGTGGCCCGTGGTGGCAGAGAGAGAGCTCAACAGTAACCTGGTAAAAGAATTGGTGTTTGAAAGGAGGGCAATGGGCAGATTGTGAGTGTGAGAAAACTGCACAGAGAGTGTAAGGAGAGTGCAAGGACCACTTGTCACCCTGTTGGTGCCAGCTGTGGGTAAGGTCTTCCCCTGTTTACAATGCAGCCTCTGTCCCTCTACAACATCTGTTTTGAGGGACTTCCATCTATTGGTTTCTCTGTGTACAACAAATCACTTTCAAGTTAGTCCTGTTTTTTTTTCTTTAGTTCCCAGATCATCCTTTAGTCACAGTTACATACCCATGCTAAAATGTTCCTGCCACTTTTCTGTCTCAACAGTGGCAATAGCAGCTTTGTTTCAAATAGCTGCTACCTATAGAAGATGGGTTGGAGGTCTCCTTTCCCAGGCGTGAGGAGTGCTGACCACTGGTATTATCTCCCTTCTCTGGGAAAGTGCAAATTAGCTCCTAGGGCTGTTTCTGAACTCTCCCACTCCTTCATACTTTGTGGTGTTAACATGTCCTCCATCCCCTCTTTAAAATCTTATTCCTACTCTCTTCCATGTCAACATAATTTTGCAAGTTGTTTCTGCTCTCCTGGAGGGAGGACAGCTTGTCTCTCCTCCTGCATCAGTGTGCTTTCTGCTTAAATTTTGTGCCTCCTGAATTTTCCTTTTTTTGTAAGCATTTAATAAAATTTGAAGATGATGTTGTAATGATGGCAACTCTGAGAATTTTGTTTGTGTAGGAGTTTCTGCAGCAAAGCTGTCTTCCAAGACCTTGCAAGTCCCTGCTTGAGTGTAAGGTGGAGGAGAAGAAACATCAGGCTCAGTGGCAAGAGGAAAAGAAGCTTGACATATGCAGGAAAGGGGATTTCTGTGTTCCTGGCCCATTTAGATACTTGTCATTTTGCTGCATTTTTCATGGGGGGTAATTGACTGTAAAACAGGAAGGAGTGGTGTTTGGGTGAGATATGGAGCAGCATGTAGAGACTTCTAGGGCGTGGTCAGCTAGAAGCACAGAGCTTACCTCCCCAGGTAGTAGACCTGAGCAACATCACAGTTTTTATCCAGAATCACTGGTGATGTCAGCTTTGTTTAAAAAAAACCCCAAAGAAACAACAAACCCTGTCTAGCCTGCTTATCCAGCTTTGATAAGGTCAATATAGCTGTCTGTACTGGAACGCAGCACGCTAATGAGTTGATGAATCTATCTGGAACCATTTCATGAAAAACCTTTTTATGGAGATGACCTTCCAAGTAATAACACTTTTACTACTTGTGGCAGTAAAGAGTTTCTGCTGTCCTTACCTATGCTTTCCTAAAGTGTTAGGAAGAAAAAAGTTTTCAGATACTACTTGTTGCTCTTATCTTTCTGCTTATTGGTACCCTTGTCCTCTCCATCCTCTGCTTTAGCTCCTGGAGGTAGGAATTCAAGGAGTCTGTGTTCCTTACAGCACTGAGGAGCATGGACACCATCTGGCCCCATCTTCCCTTAAGCCCTTCCTTCCTCTGCCATGCTGGGGTTTTCCAGTGAGGCTGGAGCAGTAGTAGTGTGGGGTATAGAGATATCCTGGCTTGAGGTGAAAACAGCACTACTTTGCATGTGTGCAAACTGGTTGCAGCAGTTTTTCAACTCTGTTCTGTGGCTGACTGGAGGAAAAGATAGCTGGAAAGTTCTCCAGCTACTATTCCTGTGTCCTGCCAGTTTGGAGAGTGCAGACAAGGTCCTAGAGGCTGCTTCTGTGAGAGTCCTTCTCTAAGGAGGGTTAATTTGTGCAGTATGTTTTCTCCACTTAAAGCCCACGTGGACCTAGGTGTGGTTTCAATAAACAACCGCTGTAATTCAGGTTCTGGTCACAGCAGAGAAGTGAGCAGGTTATGGGAGACCAGAGCTCTCTAGTGGTGGTCAGGAACCAGGGAAAGACCTGGCTTGGAACAGATGTGTGTAGCTCTTTATGAGGTACTTATATGTGCCAGGGGAAATGTTTCCACAGTTAAATTAACTTTATGATCTGCTGTTTCTCCTCCCAAAGTAACATCGTGTGCACATGGTGGTGGGAGTGGCAGAGGGGTTACCAGAATGGTGAAACCTCCCACCACACCAAAAAAAATAAGAAAAAAGAACACTGCAGCCCAGGTATACTGGATATGCATCTTAGTATTTAAGAGGGGATGGAGACTCATTTCTCCCCTCAGCAGCAAACTGTAGGGACTTCAGTTGCTCCCTTCACAAGAAAACATGGCATCAGTGAAGTGTTTCTGCTTATCTCTTGCTGGAATGAAAAGCTCCCACAGGTGAATTTGCTATGGAGAAACCACTGTGTGTGGTGTGAAGTTACACTGTGACCTTTGCAAAGCCCTCCTGCTTCCAGCTCTTCTGCTTGTCTCTGGGACCTCTGCCCTCCTAGGAAGGGCTTCTGGAGACTTGCCCCGCTCATATAAGCGAAAGACAGCAGGCTGATGCCCCTCTATAGTAGCAACCCTATGTCACTGCTCTAATCTTAAGGCACCCCTCAAGGTGTTGCTTCACTGCAGTTCCTTCTTTCTCCATCTTGGCTAGATTATGCAGAAGGAGAACATCCTTCCAGCATCTGCTCTGAAATAAATGTGGAGGGCTAAGGTAATACTGAAATGTGCTGCTTGTGGCAGGGTTCAGGGCTGCTTTTTTTTCCCAACAGGGTTTAACAGATGGTTCTACACGAGTGTTTGCAAGATGGAATTGAAAAACATTGCAGTGCTTGTTTCCTGCAGGCCATAAACCAGTATTATTTAAACATGGGGAAAGCTTATCTGGTGGAAAACTCAAGTCTCTTTTGAATGTCATGTTTTTATGCAGCACTTGTTCTGCCTTGAGACTGGGGGCTGGACTTCATCTAGTAGTCTTTTCATGTATAAAATAATTATAGGCTCATATTTATGTCCATCCTTATGTATATGTACTCACTAATTAACAGATCTCTGCTTAACCCTCACAGCTCTGCACTGGGCCTAGAGTGAAGCAATGGACACAAGAGTTTAGAATTTCCAGATGAGTTTGTTCCTTGAAATGTGTCTGCAGTTTCTGCTCTTGGAAAGAAAGGTCAGCCTCAGAGACACCTGAGCCTGAATGTCAGAGCTTTGCCTCCTGCCACAACCACCTTCAGGAAGGAAAATAAACAAGTTTAAAGAGCAGGGCAGCTATAAATAATGAGGTGGCAGCTGATATGCTGCTGAACAAGGTTCTGAGGTTGGCCTATTGGTAATTCTTGGCAGCTCAACACACTTTCCCTGATACTGCATTACATACATACATATGTACACATGTACATATTTTAAAGCAGGTAAAGAATGAATCTCATGTTGACAGGAAGTGCAATTAGAGCTACCCTTTACTTCAGTAATGATGACCCATTACAAGGGTCCTGATAATGAGACAGACCTGAGGTGATTTTCCTGTGCTTTTGCATTGAGTCCCCTCGGGGTTTTGGTTGCAGTGGAATGATTTGATTTAGATCACAAATTTTCAGAAAGGTGTTTCATCTCTTCTTGTTAAGTAATGGTGGTTTAGAAATGCTAATGATATGCATTCTTTGTTCTTCAAATAAGTAGAAAAAAGTATCATGGACTTGGGGCTTCTGAGGATGAGGGGAAGAATGGAGGGGGGGTTGAAGCAAAGTAAGGGGGAGATATCATTGGGATTTATATGAGCAAGCACTCTAAAGCATGAAAGCAGCAAATTGCAAGTGTAATTACTCAATCAGAGGTGCTTGGTTGGGTAGGGAGGTCTTCCCCATGGTTGTGGAGAGAGTGTGAGTGGTTGTTGTTAACACCTTGACTGGTGTCCTGCCTTGCTCACCTCCTCTGGGGACACCCCAAAACAGCAGCTTCAGGCATTGGTCCTGGCTCCCATCCTGTTGCTCAGTCTTTGTTCTCACTGTCAGACTGTCTCATCCATTTGTGTGTAAATAGTCTGAGGGTGAGACCCAGGCCATGTCTTGAATGGTCAAGCCTGATCCCTTATCTTTGGAGACACATTTAGCCTAGATCTAGGGTGTCCAAGGATGGTCTCCTGAATCCTAGAGATTAGATGTCTAAAGCAGATGCAGTGAGCACATCTCTGAAAGCAAATAAGTGATGGAGAAACAATCTACCACAAAAATCAGAAATCAATATTGACTGAAGGAAAAAGAAATTCACTACTTACTGATGTGTAATTTGTTTCCATCTGAAATCATTTGCATGTTGGGTGCATCGTGTTACTCGGTCCAGTTTACAAAATTAACAGGTGCTTGTTCCTTCAAGATCATGTCAGGTGCTGGTTTCTTGTGATTTTTAGAGCCCTGTAGGTAAGTTCGAAACACCAGATGGAAAAGTGTTTACAGTAGCCAGTAAGTACAAGCAGTTTCTCAAAAATAAATAAAGGGACTTTTTCAAAGGATGAAAATTTCCATCACCTAAAATTAGCATGAAGAAGGGCTATCGAGTAACACCACTGCATGCTCCTAACTTTGGCCCTGCAAAGTTCAGCATCTCAAGTACTGGAGAGGTGAAGGGCAGTTGATGGTGATGTTGCCAGGACAGCTATTCTAGCAGAGTAGCTCCAGGCAATGAAACCAGTTGGAGGCTTTTCAAGTTGGCTGTCAGATTTACTGTTTTGCAGAAGTCAGGGTTGCTAAATGCAAATTTGGAGCGGTGCTTTGGTTGTTACCTTCCCAATAACAGAAGAAAGCAAATGCTGGCTCTGTCCCTGCTTGTTCCTGGTGAGGGACATGCTTATATGCAGGGAATGCAAGTGCAGAAAATGCTGCACTGGGAGCAGAGGGGTTTGGAGTTGATTAGTATGGTGAATTTTGGTCGAGGGCGTTTGTGTGCAGTTTGACTCAAAGATCTGGGCCAAGACTGCTTAAGTGAGCTGATAAGGATGGCCCCAATGCCTGCCTTTGTCCTGGATAACCTGTGAGTTACCCAGACACTATGCAGTTATTTACTGCCTCTTGGCCTCAGGAAATTTCATCCCTTTTTCCAGCTGACTTCCCAGGTTGGGCTTTGTTTTTTCACAGCCTTTCAGGAGCCTTTAAGTGTGGATGGGAGGTTAAATATACTCACGGGAAGGTGGGGACATATAAGAGCACTTTCCTGGAGGTTTACAAAGCAACTTTATGCTCAGGTTAACCTTGGCCTGTTTCATATGGCTTTTGAGATGCTGGCGAGCTATACCACAAAGCTAGCTCTGAAGGCAAATTCTTGCTGCTTCTCCAGTACCGCACTGCTAAGCCTTGTTGCTCACTGACCCCCTGTGCTAATATATCTCCAATCTGACTTGGAGTTACTCTGTTTTGGATCAAGGTAGCAAAGCATTTCCTACATCCATGAGGGTTGTGGCCCATCTGATGAGACCAGTTCTCATCAGGGATGTATATGCTGGTACTTCTGGGTTGGTGTCGGAGGTGAGCTCTCCATTTGCTTTGTCCCTCTCTGCCTCCCTGATGACTGATGAGCTCATGCCTGCCTCTGTAGGATATGCTGCTCCTTAGTGCAGTGCAGACCTGTGGAAGGATTGGGGATAGGTGCTTGATCCTTCATGCAAATACCCTAATGCAATTAAATCCTCTTTGACTGATGACTTCAACATCTCAAAACTGCTCTTGTCTTTTAGGAGTACTAGTGACTCTGTGTGTCTCCAACACTGAAAATGTTGCTGAAAAAAAACCCAGACAGTAACAACCAGAGCCAACCCAACAGGAAACATAGAACCCCCATTATGAATAAGAATATTTCAAAAGATTTTAAAAATGCCCAGGGATACCTTGTACCCTGCTCTGCTGCTGTCACCACTGAAACCATGCATGTGTTTGCAGGATACACTGTATGAATGATGCAAAGAGTGAGCTTATGTTTGCCCATGCTGAAGTAGGAAGTGTCCAGATTACTTCCTGTTTCTTATGAAAAGATGTAGAGTTTCTGCTCTTACAGGCTAAGAGGAGATAAGATAGGAACAGATTTTCCTACCGAGTTTCACAGAAGGGATGACATACTCGAGTCCTCCACTTAAGTATTGATTGGTTCCCTCCCACCAGATGCAAGTAGGAGAAAAGCAGTAACAGGAAGATGGATGGAGGCATGCATAGGTAATTTGGTCATTAATAATAGAAAGCTTGGTTGTTGCCCTTTATTCTCCTTTTTATGCCCCTGAACCTTTGAGACATCATGAAGCCACCATCAGGAAAAGGTGTTGGCACCCTGAGGTTCCCCAGCCACCTTCCAAGATTCAGGTAGGTAAACCCACAACTTGGCAACTATTTGCTCTCCCCTGTATCTGAGCAGCTGCTGGAAGAGGTGCATCACTGGGCATGGTAAATACTGCACCAGGTCGCTTCTGGGAAAACAAGAAACAACCAAGGACAGAGATCCTGAGCCCAAATGCCTTGCAGGTGGTATTAGAGGAGCCGAGGGGGAAAGATGGTCTTTGCTCAGCCAATTTGAGTTGTTTCACATTCCTCAGGATCCTGTTAGCCCCAGTAAAATGACAATGGTCTGGTGATACTTAGAGGAGCTGACTATAAAGTTTAAGGCTATTTTGATCTCTGCTTGACTGGCTGCATAACCGGTCATTAGCTTTTACCCAGGAACAGAAAATAATTAATTATATATATATTCTGTCCTTTCTCTGAATGTACTTAGCCATTATCTGATCTGCCTTTTTATTGACAGCTATTTCAATTAACTTGGAAAGAGTGTTCAGTGAACATAGGGCATCTACAATAACCTTGAACTGCTGATTAAACCCCCCTGCAGAATCCCTTTCTCTGGGGGAGGATAAAGAGAAGAAAGGGTGTGGGGGGAACTGGATAAAAAATTTACTTTCCTTTCCCAAATGGCTTTTGTGATTCCCATTTCCCACCTGCCCTGAATCATGGTAAAATATTTATAACTGAGTGTCACAAAAGAGAAAAACACATCCCCACCCTTTCCCAGTCAGCTTAATCAACGCATTTTTCTGGATACCTCCAATTATTTCAAGGCTAATGCCTGTATAAGTGGACAAACATGCCAAAACCAGAATATCTGTATCATGCAAAAAAGTAAAACGTGTTGTTTTGAAAGCATTGAGATAACTTTGGAGAGGAAGGGGAATAAACATTCAGACTGTGAATGATGAAACAACTCAAGTAAAACACATTTTCCTTATAAATAAATTCACTTTGGATAACTCTAACCATTTTTCAATGACAGAAGGTGTCAGTGAAAGTTCCTCTGTAGCTCTACTGTGAAGGTGTAAGTGCAGTCATGGGCAAGATTGGCTGAGGAAGCATTTCAGGAGGTCATCTTTCCTGACTTATGGGCCAAAGCAAGGTTTGCTTTGGAATTAGATCCATTTGTTCAGCATTGGAGAGTAGGTGGTGGATAGGCGTAGGCATTTATTTCAGAAATTGGATATCTCCTGGGTTGTGAAAGAGTACCTGTTTTATGGGAAGGATGTAGCTGATTTTATTTACAAACTCCGTAGTTTTTAATGAACGTGGGTAGGATTTCAGACTTTCAGGGCTGTAGAGGTTTTCAGATGAACTTTTCCAGTGCTTTTTCAGCTCACTGGCTGAGCATTATCCAGTCCTAAGAGGCAATGATCCATGAAAATGCTGCCCACTGACTGGTGTGCACTGAGAATATGGAAAGGGTATTTTGAGAAAAAAAAACAGACCAAAACAAACAAAACACACACAAGTATTTGGCCAAAATGCCCATCTTTACGCAGTTTGTAAAATTATCATGCTAATGTGTGTGAATTGTATTTAAAGGCATCTCCCCCAGAGCACTGGCTGCTTCAATAGGTCAACCAATAGCCAGAAAAGATTGGAAGGGCTGATTACAACTTCCCTACAAGTGGCCCTGCAATGCAATAAATTCCTGTGGCCCATCTCAAATAACCAGTCTGGGTGTTCCTACCTACCAAGAAGAAATGTGACATTGGACTAGGTTACCTAGCAGATACTTGTCTAGATCTCTGCCCCAGCCTCCAGTTCTGTTCAAGGAGGAACGCTGGTTTGCTGTATCCTCTCCCAGGTGGGGATGCTGTCACTGTAAAAGTATGCCAGGCTCTGGCTTGAGGTCAGCAGGCAGATGGACTTTTCGTGGTTTGAGACCCTGGTTCGTGTCTGTGACCTGTGTGTTTGCTCTTTGGCCTTGGTGCTGTCTCCTAACCTGGCACCTGGTGAGAGGGGCTTCTCCAATGACAGATGCTTGCTGCACATCCACCTAACAAAATGGAATAGCTTTCAGTAGGTGTGCAGCCACAGCTGGGATCATCCCTCCCTCATCTTGTCCATGTGATCAGTAGGGACTGGGAGGTAGTTGGTGGTGGTTTGCTCACTCTCTAGGGTGTGGCTGCGCTGCGACAGTCCCAGTAACCTTGCTGCTGATGCAGGGGGAAAGAGATGGTGTCAAGACAGCACAAAATATAAATCCTAGAGCAGGAGAATCAACAGTAAAGAGAGACAAAGCTGATGATGAAAATGTCACAGGTTGTGAACGAAATTGCTGTGTGATGGTATCAAGAGGTGAAATAAGGAGTTGACATAGGGAGAGTGTGAAAAGCACAAAGTATGAAACTAAGGCATGAAATGTTGGAGAGGATTATAATCACGTGCTGAAGGGGATAGAGAGACCCACAAAGGGAAGAAAGGACAAACATACATTGGGCTGTGTGGAATGAGCCTTGGTTGTGAACAAGGCGACAGCAGAGCAAAAGGAAGACGTGTGCATCAGACAAGCTCCCTTTCCAGAGAGATAGAGAAGGTACCCTCAGTCCCCATGAGAAGAGGGAACCAGATCATGCTGGGACCGGAAACAAGATGCATAACATGGACATTGAGCGCTCTTGACAGAAGCAGCCCATGGGATGCACAGATGTCTTTTGGGACAGTACTAAGCAGAAGTGCCATGCTCACAGGGGGTGGTGGTGGCGAAGACAGAGCATGGACATGATGTATGATGTAAAGATGAATGTTGTCTGGAGCAGTTGCCTGGCATGTCCAGGTGAGGAACTGAGCTGAGCACAAGAACTGAGAGGATACTGCAGGCTGTAATGTTTGCATCTCATCTATTTGAAAAGAGAGCTGTGGCAGAGAGAAGAGTCTGGTTACCTGTCCCTCCCATTGGTTGTATCAACGTCACATTTGTGAAGATGCTTAGAACAAAATTGGAGTGATGTGGAGCGTTCCCCTACCAGTGTGCATGAGCAGCACTGCTGTGGTGGAGGCTGTGCAACCCTGCAAGATGCTCACACTACCCCTGCCAAAGATCTGGCAGCAGGTGAGCCAGATGGACCCACAGGAGCGTTCAGGCCCGCACCTGCCGAGAGCCACCCTGGTGTAAGGCCAGGCTTTGCATTCACTTGCGCACACACGGTTTCTTTTTAACTGATTGATCCAGTCCTTGGCACTGAGTCAAGATGCCCCACCAGCAGCAGGGACAGCCTGTACCTGGCAGGCAGGCAAAGGAGACTGGTGAATGCCATTGCCAAACTGGGTCCACCACAAATATAAAAGGAGAAACAGCTGGGACACTCTCCCCCCATATGTCCCCACTCTGCTGCTAGTTTGGGCAAATACGGTATTTCTTGGAGATGTGCCCAGCTGGTGGAGCACCTGAGGAAAATTAGCCAGTGGAAGACACCACTTCTTTACTGGTTGGTGCTGAAAATGCAGCGTGAAAGCTGGTTTGCTGTGTTAGTGCTTTCAACAGATCTGGGGAGGGGGAGTGGAGGTGATGATACCAGGTCCGGCCGCGAGTTCCCACGCACACGCTGCTCTCCTCGGCAGCGCGGGGTGCCCTCCCCGCCTCCCCCACCCGGCAAACTCCCACATGAAGCGAGGGTGCTGAGGATGGATACAATGTCCCCCTCCCACCTGACAAGTAACAAAAGCATTGGCTGGAGCTGGGTTGCAGAAGGGAGGCGAGGGAATAAGCTGCCGGCCAGTTGGAGAATGCAAGCTGGAGAGATTTTAGCTCGTGCATGTTACCTGGTGAATGGGAGGCTGCAGTGCTGTGCTCCCACTCCACAGCTTTAAAAACTTGTCTCTACATCCTCGGTAGGAACCCTTTCTTGCAAGCAGCAGGGAAAGAGTGGGCAGGAATCAATCTGTGACCTGGGCCAAAAATATCGTCTGCCCTGCAGCTCCCAAAGTTTTTCCTGTGCTCCTACGGGCTGGGAGAAAGGGGGTGCTGGAGCTGCCAGACACACTGGAGGGCACACACTGCATTGCTGGGGAACCCTGCCAAGGGGAGAGGGGCGGGAGGAAAGGGATGGGAAGCTGAAGCCTGTGAGATTTAGTGAAATGGAAACCATGAACCGGAGGGTTGTGCAAGACACTGCAATCCTCTGCTGGAATAGCCCTGCAACTGTGGAGAGAGTTCAGGCAGCAAAACCACTCCAGGCACCCAGAGGATACTAGATGGGGTCCAGCCATCTGGGATTTGCCCTCTCTAAGAAATTCTTACTTAAATAATGCTTTCATATTATGCTAAGAAAGGCTCTGAGCATGGTGTGAGTCAACCAAGATCTTTTGCTGCATTCCTGCTCTCCTACTTTTTGTTCCAGGTCTCTTCAAGCCTTGGTGTGTGGCAGAGCCCTGGTAGTCTTAGAGAGAGATGGGAGTGCACTGCACAGCACTTGCACCCCCCCCCCCACACACATGTGCTGTGTGCCTCTGACTTCTCACACGCCTGTGACTGCTGGTTTCAAAGAGCACTGGACACAGAAGGTCCATGAACCTTCCTCAGGCTCACCCTGCAGTGCAGCTGAAACCGTTTGCATGTGGAGGGGCAGCAGGGAAGAGCCCCTGCCCGAATGGGAGAGTGGAGGTTGCTGCTGAGTGTTGAGATTGCAAGAGCCAGGCTCTTGCAGACCAAGTTTTAAGCAGTGACCATGCACCACGGAGCTGTGGGGCCCCACAATTTGTTTCTGAGGTGCCTTTGCCTCAGATACCCCTCTTTGAGCTCTGCCTGCCTGGCGGGTTGTAAATATAGAAACATAAGCCCTGGAGTTTTTTTCTCCAAACATGTCCCTTCCATCTTAGCATCATCTGTGCAATTCCTCCAGCTGCTCCTATACATGGTATGACCTTTTTTTTCCCCTTCCCTTCCTTCCCCCTCCATCTCATTCCCCTCCCCGCCCCATCCCTGCTCCCTTCCCTTCCCTGGCCAGCATACGAGTCTGGGGCCAATCGGCTCTTCCAGACGATCAAATGTCACTATAAGTTGAGAGCTGCATCACCTTGGGACGCTTGCAGATCCCAGCCTGCCCGTCCCCTTCGACAGGAGCTTGGTGCTTCTCTCCACTCCTCCAGGTAAGTGGGATCCCTGGCAAGGGATGCTGCAGGGGAGTAACACTACAGAGGGGCTGAGCCTCGGTCTAAATAGAGAAAAATCAGGGGAGAGTTGGGGTCTCCCGGATCTGGGATCTGGCACAGGATCCTAAGGAAAAGGCACTTTTCCTTCCTGGCTTTGGTTGGGCATCACACAAATCTCATGTCATGTGCGGAGATTTGGGTGCTCTGAACTCTCAAGGATTAGTAATGGGAGAACAGATGCTTTCAAAAGGAAGACATAGGGCTCGAAATTAAGAGTAATCTCTTGGGACACTTGGGGGAAACTTCCTCCAGCAGCAGGAGGAAAGTGCTGACCTTCCCTCCCCTGTCACCCAGAGAAAGGGATGGCCGAGACAGGAGGTAGCAGGGACTGTTGAGGAGCTGCTGGCAGGTGAGGAGGGCTGTGGGGTGTGGGGCTAGAGGGAGAGCTGAGAAACATAAATATGGTCATGGAAAACTGCCCTCTCCCACAGAAAGAAGAAAATTGTGAGTGTGAGTCACCCATACTGGGTGGTCATGTCATTGAAGTGTGAAGGAATTTGAAGCTGTGCATACAGGGAGCATACCATCATCACTCTGAACATGACCCTGTTTATGTTTCTCAGATCAGCTTCTTGCTTTTGGGTGGCAAGTATCCTACAAAGACAGGAGAGACACCAACACAGGTGTCTCTGGTGCCAGCAATTTGTGCTGTTCATGTGGGGGAGCTCCAGTGAGGCTGTAGATGATTGCCAGGGCAGGCAGCCATCCCTCATAGGTACAAGACCCAGGAAGATCGTGGAGTCCCCACCCCCGGAGATGTTCAAGAGGTGTTTAATCTGGCACTGGGTGATATGGTTGAGTGGTTTAGGGGTTAGAGCGATAGTGCTGCTTTGATGGTTGGACTGGATGATCCTGTAGGTCTGTTCCAACCTTGATGACTCTAAGATCAGGGAAAGGGGGATATAAGCTAAGCACGGTCGCTGGCTTTTCCCCCTCTATCTCAGCCTTGTTGTGCCTAGAAAACACTGTGCAGGGAGATCAGGCAGATCATACCACCGTGAAGACAAGGATAAAGGGTACATCTTGGGACAGGGAATTGGGATTTTCCTATGTGTCAGTGGACCCTGCAGCAGCGCTTGGGTCCTGTGACCCTGTTTCAGCATCAGTGCTGTGGCAGATGCTTCACCTTCCAGCCCCTTTCTGCTGGAAAGTACTGAGCAGTTCAGAAACAAAGAGAGGAGGCAGAGGGATGGAAGAAATATGTATTGAAAAAGGTATATGTATATACTTTTTATAGAGAGAAATATATTATTATATTTATATATTTACTAAATATATTATATATAACACCTATATCTTTTAATATAGATATGTATGTATATTAACAAATCCATGCAGTTGGTTTTCAATGGTTCCTGGTAGGAAAGTGTGTTCATGTGGTTCTTGGTGGATCATACTCATAGTCCTTGCCTGATAGCTGTCCCTGCCAGGACCCATTGCCCATGCATGGCCTCTTTTGTCCTCTCCCCTTTCAAAATGGCTCCTGCTACCTTGCCTACCTTGTATGGCCTGGCTTGGGAGGGGATGATTGATGGGTGGGTTATTTCCAGGGATGGCTTGGAGGTGCAAGGCAGCCCATTCCCCCTCCCGGGTGCATTCTCAGCTGCTAAGAGGCTTCTTGGGATGTGCTGATTCTGCTCTTTCAGTCAGGGCCAGGAGCATTTGGGGCCAAAAGGGACGTGGCATTCCTGCCCACCTGGGGCTCATGAGGATTGGTGTGTTTGTCCTTCCAGCCATGACCTGCTTGGCTTGAATAAAATGCAGAAAATAACCTTTGCTTTCACCTTTAAGGGGTGGGAGCAGGTAGGAAGTTTTCTGTCTGGTGAAACTTTCCTACATGTTTTGATTTCCTTCTAAAGGGTGGGCAGTATTAACTAATTGATTTTATTACATCTCTAAACCCAGTCTCAGACCAGAATCCGTTTTTCTGCCACTGTACAAACAAAGCCCAATTATTGCCTTAAGGTGCTAACAGCCTTAATCTTGGGCTGCGTTTGCTGTGTGTAAAGTAATTTCCACCGAAGGGTAATCCTGAGCCAGCTGGAGACTTTCCATTGCCTTCAGCAAACTCAATCCTAACTGCAAAAAATACTGCTCTTTACAGATTGCTTGCTTTATTGCCTTTTGGATGTTAATGTAGTTCAATTTTGTTGGCTGCTTTGATGACAGACCTATGTGGATAGTGCTGGGCATCAAAGAGCCTTCCTTGTCTCGTGTGGCTGTAGCTATGACGGTCTGTATTTTGCCCCTGGTTTTAGGGGACCAGATGGCTTTTGAATGCCATGGAGTAGACAGACACCTTCTTTTTCTTGGAGCGAGACCTTTTTGGCTTTCCAGCCAGGGCAGTGGCAGTCAGCTACAGCCTTAAATGCCAACTCCTCCTGACAGAGCGACCAAACTTGGTTGAATGTTTGGCCCTTGCAAAGCTGAAATCTGCAATCTTCCCTTGGATTTTTTTGTCCCCCACCCCCTGCCCTAGCCTGTGGGGTTCCTGTGTCTGGCTCATCTTTGCACGCAGTCTGCCAGTGCACTTGTTATTAATTCATTTTATCCAGAGCCAAGAAACCCCCTCAGGGTTGGGGTCTTATGGTGTCAGGGATGCTGGCATTCTCATTCTGTTTTTATAGCACACGGACAGATGCCATGCAAAATCCCATTCGCATTTGCAGCGCTTGGATTAACAAATATGGAAGGGTGTAGGGGAACAGCCAATGTGACTACCCTCAGCAAGATGTCCTTAGAGCTAAATTGGAGACTAGATGAGCTCATTCCAATAACTGCTAATGGAAAGCCTGATTGCAAAGACTCCCGTTGACTTCAATTGCCTTGGAAAGAACAGCATGGGCTGCGCTACGTGCCTACCGCACACTGAACAGACGCTCACTCTCTGTGTGCACACCCAGGGTTCTCAAGCTGATTTCTTCTCCACCATTGAGCAGTATTACTCTTCTTCTCACTGGAATAACAGAGGAGTTTATCCCAAAGCCCTTTAAAACTCCTCTTTTTTCCCCCCTCGTACTGGAAAGAAGGAAATACGCATTTATAAATTAAAGGCAGAATCCATGGGACGATTGGCCATTGCCCCGAGTCTTTACAGATCATGTATTTTAGAAGGAGCCAACATCTGGGCATTAGACAGGTTCCCTCCATAGGGTTTTGCCTGAAGAAGCTCAGCTGTCCTGTTGCATAAACCAACATACTGACAAGCATTATTTCTAATACCTTGAATAATTTTCGGAGGCTGAGATGAGACTGCTAACATGCTAGCCACTGTGCAGATAGCAAGTGGAACTCTTTGTCCTGAGGATTTGTTGATCTACATAGAAAAGACCAGGGGAGAGAGGCCAGCAGTGCTGTAGCATTCAAGTAATTAACAGAAGCAGCAGCATGAAGTGGTGCAAAAGAAAAGCCTTTTGCCGAGCTGAAATTCTTCCCATACACAAAATTCCCCACAGATTCCTTCTGCCTGCCTTTGGTCCCCAAAGTACTCCTTGGGATGGCTGTTGCACTTGAGCAGTGGACAATTGCAGCCACCAAGTTAAAAGCAGCCTGTGGTCAAGAAATCACTGAACCCAAATTTCATATGTCCTAGCAGTAGGTTACGCTCCCATCCTGCTTCTCAGGTCAGGTCATAACACAGCCACTGCTGGCACTACTTCCAATGCAACTCTGACTTTCAGAAAGAGGATAAATGAGGAACTAGAAGAAAAAAAATGCTGGCTGTTTATCTCTCATGGGGGTTTTAAATCCCATTGGTGTTAATGTATGGTGCCCAGGGTCATTGCTGGGGAATGGAGAGAATCCCTTATAGGGCAGGGTTGGAGCCTGTGGGATTACTGCCTTCCTCTGAAATAGAAAGCTACTGAGCTGCAGTTGTTCCTTTTGAACCTAAGTCAGCCCACCTGCTCCTTCAAGACATCTCTCATATATCAGCTGAATAATGAAGTCATGAAAGTCAGGGTTTGGGGCAGCAAAGAGAAGCCAGGCTTTCTAATTTAAGACTGACTGTGGATCTGGAGGAAGTCTTGGGGGGCCCTTTCCCACCTCCTCCCCTGGCCTCAGGGCAGTTGATGCTTTTAGAAAAGCCAGAGTGTTGTATTACATAGAAATGGTTATACCCATGTGAACTGCCTAACCAGGGATGTGGCTGGTTTTCATCTTAAACTAATCAACAGAATATTGTTCACTTGTATAAACCAGACACACTTCTGGGTGCTGACAAATAAGGACTCATCTCTACGTATATTGGTAGTTTCAGTTATTCTTTTAGCTCTGACTAGTGCTTTGGAGCTGGCACCTTCCCACTTGTGGTAGCATAAAGTCAGGAAAAAATTCTCTGATCTTTCCGGAGCTATGGAAATGTCAGATGGGTGCAAGAGGACACTGGCCTGTGCCTGTCTCCCTCTGGAGGTTTTGTAATTTAAAGCCAGGTCCAGATTTCCTCCAGTCCCTGTGGGACACAGCTGAGTTGACGGGACATGTCTTTCCAGATGATGTTTTCCTCCTCCTCTCTCCTTGTCCTCTGACCTGGCTGGCAAAGATTTGTGCTTCTCCCAAAATGTCAGTGTTGGTGGGGGATTGGTTGCTGTGTGGGAAAGCAGGTGCCCGTCTTTTTTTGTCCTCAAATGTCAACCCATCTGCTTCTGCCTTGGAATTTTTTAGGAGGTACTCTCATTAATAACACTTTTTTTTTCTTCTTCTTTTCCTTTTTTGTCTAGAAACTCACTGCCAACATGTCTGATACCGAGGAAGTGTAAGTAGAGAGAAAGTTGTGTGTGTGCTCGTTGGCTCAACTTGCTCCATGCAGCGGAGCAAGGGCATCCCAGCAGGGAGTAGAGGCCGGGTGCTGCTCTGTGCACAGCCTGAAGCCCCCCAAGGCACTGAGGAGGGAGCATCTTGACTTTGAGTGTGAAAGACCCATGGAAGTTCACCTGACTTCCTCCCTGTCTAACACAGGACATCCCCCAAACACCTCCACCCAGCTCAGCCTGCCCTCAGTGGCTGTGGCACTACCCCTGGAGGAGGGGGAATGAAATACACAGTGCAGTGGAGGAGCCCCTTTCTGCCTTGGTTTAACAAATTGAGAGTAATATGACCAAACCCAATGGGGCCGTTTGACATTAATGCATCAGTAGGTACACAGGGGAGATTTAGAGCAGTCATGGGATCAGAGGAATCATGGACATAACAGTGGTCATTTAGCCCTCTCCTCTGCTAGGAGATAAGTTCAGCTCAACCTGTGTCATTTTGCCCAGCTCTTAACATTTTTTTTCTAAAGATAAAATTTGGTGCCTTTTTTAAGCAATCTCTGACTAACATGTCTTTCCTTTGGGATCTGGCCCCAGGGCTGCTCTGAGGCTTGGGTTTCATGCAAGGGGATGGTAGAGCAGGAGAAGCTGGGAAGTGTGGGCAAGGAACGGGAACAGACCATGAGACTGGTGTAGCTACAGCCGTGGGAGAAACATTGAGCAGCATCTGTTTTATGCCAAATTTCTATTAGACAGCCTGAGGGTTCAGGGAGCCTGTAGCACATCTGGGTTGACGTGGGCCCTTGGCTGCAGGTTGGCTTGCCTGGCACACTGGGGCTGAGGTCCACCTGTACAGCACTCGTGTGTGGGTATCACGTTAGAGCCCTGGGGTGGAGGATTACTCCTGGATATGGATTCATATGCACCCTCAGAATCAGGAACACTATTTAAAATAAAACTCAAACCGAGTCGCTTTACCACTCTTAAAACCAAATATCTCCTGGAAGAGCAGAGAGAAGGGGGGAAAAAAGAAACAATAGACTTTAAACAATGCTACACTGTATTGCTTCATTATATGGTTTAAAGCTTGTTGACAATATGGAGTGGGAGAAATATTTATCTAGTTTCAATATCCTTTTTTCCTCTCTCACAGGGAACAAGGAGAGGGTAAGTCTTATATCTGTCTCTAGTTGCTTCCATGCAAGCCTGCAGCATTCTCTGGCTGTGTCAGCTGGTACAGTTAGACAAATCTGAGGTTTATTTTTCTGTGCTTCTGTCTGTCTGACTGTCACCAGATTCTGGTGTTTTTACACTACCTGTAGCAGCCTGGCCGTGTTCTTGCTGGGTGCAGCCTGTGGGGTTTCAGCCCCACATTGATGCCCTGGTTGCAGGGGACGCCTCTAGTTTTTGTAGGGGCACTGCCATCTGCTGGCAATTTATTTTGAAGCTTGTGTATATGTAATATTTTCTGTTTTAAAATATAAATCCCCATAATATACACATGCAATATACATAGAAGCTTTTCTTATTCTCAGGGACCCTCTCTGCTACCCTTTTCCTTCTAATGCATATATAATCCTGAGTTCCCCTTGCCCAAGAAAAAAAATCAATGCTGTATCACCTTCTTCCCCTTTTTATGACTCCTCTTTTTTATTTTCAAAGTCATTTAATCTGTTACTTTACTTGCTGATTTGCAAGTGGCCTCTCAGAGACCATCTTGCCCGGGATCCCTGTGAGCGCAAAGGGCTCTGCCGTGGGTAATGTCGTACCGATGTGTCAAGGCTGACGGTTCATTTGTCTGCTTTTTTCCCCCCTCTCCCATTTCAATGCAGAGGAGTACGAAGAAGAAGGTAACAAAAAAAAGTGGAATGTCATTTATCTTTCTTTGAATCTTGGTCCTGCTTTTCCTTGTCTATACTTCACCCTTCTCTTTTGTGCTTGCTGCTAAAGGTGATCTGAAACACTTGATCGGTAAACCAGTTGGAAACAAAAAAATCATTCAAGTTGAGGCCATGACGTGCAGAGCCTTCACGTTGTGGTGAAATGGAGTATTTGAATGAGCTGTTGGGGATGGTGAAAAAGCTAGAGACTAATCTGCTCATAAACTCAGAACCTTTTAAAGCAGGGACTGGTGCAGAGCCCACACAACGTATCATTGGTGAAATCCTGCCATTCTCATTTTGACAATGTCCACAAATTGAGTTTAAATTTTGAAATTGAAAAGAACAGGTTGTCTGGCTCCTGAGGAGAACCCAACAGGGCACTGCTGAGGACAGAAAAGGGAAGGCAGAGAACCAACTGGCAAAGATGAAGTTTTTTAACACACCTTTAGCTGGTAAAATGTGATTTGACAAGCTGTGAGAGACAGAGTGCTGATCTGGAAAGATGGAGCATGAAAACCCCTTCTCACCCAAGTTGTTTCACCTTTTGTAGGCAGCAGGGAGAAGAAGATTTTGGAGATGTATCACTATCTTTGCTGGGCACTTTTGACACACTGGCTTAAGTTCAGGCAAGTGTAGCTGCCAGTTGTCATCCTTCATTTTCCCAAGGTGTCTGGAACAGAGAGAAGTGCCAAACTCTTGGACTTTCTCCCAGGATCTGCCCTTAGTGTCTCAGACATCTTCTAAGGGGTCAAGAGCAAAACCCTATACTGGAGGTCGAATATTTGCATGTGGAGGGTATGAGACCAACTCAGAGAGAGAGACTTGCCTCTGTGTAGAAATGTCTCTTTTGGGAATTTATACACAGCTGGGTTTTGTATTTGGTTGGTTTTTTGTTTGTTTGTTTCTGGGGTTTTGTGTGTGTGGTTTTAGTGGTTTTGTTTGTTTTTATTGATTGGTTGGTTGTTTTTGTCCTGGATTCCACCAAGTTGCTGCAATGGACAAATTTCCATCAGTGGTGGTGGGAACAGTGGCCATGTTAAGAGTAGTTCCTGCCATAAAGTACTGACATTCCTGGCATTGCTTCTGAAAGGATTGAGGGCTCAAAAAAAAAAAAGACAGAAAGAAAGAAAGACAGAAAGAAAGACAGACAGAAAGAAAGAAAGACAGAAAGAAAGACAGAAAGAAAGACAGAAAGACAGAAAGACAAGAAAGAAAGAAAGAAAGAAAGAAAGAAAAGAAAGAAAAGAAAGAAAGAAAAGAAAGAAAAGAAAGAAAGAAAGAAAGAAGAAAGAAAGAAAGAAAGAAAGAAAGAAAGAAAGAAAAAATATAGATTGTAGAGCTTCAGTCATCATAATGTCTCTCTAGTCCTGCATGGAGTGGCAGAGCCAGAGCCAGGAAGGTGAAGATGTTATTCATGCTCCATCCTTCGTCTTGTCAAATGTCAAAAGAGCAAGCAAAGGGTGTTGTTCCTACAGACAAGCCTTCCTTAAAGGAAAAGCACTTCTTGCTTTTTTACTTTCTTCCCTAACTGTCTACCTTTTGGTTTCAAGAATTTCATGACTGATATGAAATTAATAGGCAGGTGACTTCCAAGTTGTTTTTTTTTTAATCTGCATGACTATCTCCTCTATGGTGTATCTTCTCTATGCTCTTTACTTTTGCTTGACCTTTTTTTTCTCTTCCAAAGTTATCCATTTCATTTCCATATAACTTTTCTCCATCACTTTCTAACCACCATTTTTTTCTCCAGGCCTTAGCTCACCCCAGTACTAGTTTCTAACAGTTTTCTGTTTTCATTTTGCTGCTTGCTGTTGCTTCTTGTTCCATGACACTTGCCACCTGAAGCTCATGAAGAAGGTATGTGACATGGCTTTTGATTTCTTTCTCTCTCAGTGTGGAGGAAGAATTTGTGTGCAGAAATCCAGAGCAAATGGTTCACACTCAGTGGCTGAGATTTGGTCTTGAGCCATAGACATCAATGCAATGATGGACATTGATGTCATTTATTGAGCTGGTAGGAAATGTGGCCTTTTTTTTTGTTTAAAAAACCAAACCAAACCATTATATATATATATATATATATATGTATGTATAAATGCATATATGTATGTGGAAAAAAATATATATGTATTTGTTTTCTTCTACCTTTTTTACTGAACTGCTTTACTGCAAGTCCTCTCCTTTCTCTCCAAAAGCTTAAATTTTTTAAAGGGAGGGGGACACCTGCAAAGTTTATACTCATCTGTTAGAATTTGGGAATGAGTTTGTTTTAAATTTCAAAAATTGATTAATGTTGGTGAATTTTTTTCACCAACTGAGAAAAATATGTAAAGCAAAAGAAATACAGCAGTTTTATTTTTGATTAAAAAATTACCAAAAGCCAGTTTTAGGAAATTTTAGCCAGCTCTAATAAAGAATAAAATATTGGATGCCTTTTTATGTGGTTTTCACTTGTGGTCATATTCCCATATTTCAGTAACATTTATAACCCCATAATGTCCCCATAAAAATGTTATTTTTAATTCTCTCTCACCCTGTAATTCCATCATTGTGTATTCTTGCCCATAATGGCCTGGGAGCTTGGCAAACCTCAAGAATGTTCCAATAACATATTCCTTGTTTTAATTTTCTCCTCCCATTTCCTTTGCTGTGTGACGTTTCCCACCCACAGAAGAGGCTCAGGAGGAAGGTATGTGAAGCAGCACCTCAGCCCTGCTCATTCCTGCAGCAGAGTTTGGTGCTGATGTGCACCTCGATTTTGCAAGGTGGTAGAAGAAAGCGAGAGGCAAGAGAAAGATGCTGTGACAAACTACCTGCAGGCAGAGGGCTTTTCTTGTCCCTTGCACAAGTTTCACTGAGGGTACCTCAAATCCTGGAGTATCTGTGCAGACACCTCTGCTCTGGTTTTTGGGGAGGGAGCAGCAGGGGAAATGTGGATATCATCCTTTCACCTAAGCCACAGCAGTCTCCAAGGCTGATTTTTAGCCCTGGTTGTTTGTAACACGTGCCATGGAATAACTGAGGTCTGTCTAGAAAGGTTTCTATCAAGTGTCAACTGGTTTCTCCTACGTAGCCTGGCAGATCATGATCAGATGGATTTTGAAGTCAAAATCCATCTGTGGAAAATACGTGTGTAGCCTTATGGTACATAGCACATATTCTATAATATGTCATATTATATATAGTATATTGTATATATTATAAGTTTATAAACTATAATATATAATATTATATATAATATAAACAATACGGCATAATTATATGTACGTAGATGCTGGCAAGTAACCCCAGCTGGCTCCTCACATTTCATACAACATTAGCAAGGGGGGACAGACAGGGCAGAAGAGGGGCTGGAACAGAAACTCACCCTTTGCACTTGAGGGGTTTGGGATGTGGTGCTCCAGGTACAAGGAGCCAAAGGGCGTGTCGGTTCTGCATTTGCAAAGCTTCATGCTTTGGGTGTATTTTAAACAGGGGTAAACCTGTTTATAGTGCCACGAGAGGCCCACTCTGAGCAGTTTGCAGAGTTTTTACAGCATCCAAGTTCAGAAGGCTTTACATTTCTTGTATCTATGTGTGCTTTGGTCACCTGTCTCCATTTCATCATCCTCTGTTTCTCTATTTCATATCCTCTGTGGTTTTTTTTTAGACCCTCTTACATTCACACATTCTTTAGTCTAACTCTTCTTGTTTTCCATCTCATTGCTTTTACTTCCTGCCATGTCACACCTGATGAAGCTGCTCCGGCAGGTACGTGCCATTGCCTTCCAAACTGCTCCCCGCCATCTCCTTGTTGGTGGTGGTGGGGATTCAAGGGTGGTGCAAGAGGATCAGGACCCAGTTACTTTGCCTTATTGCTTCCCTTTGCCTTTGATTTCCACCTCACCTCTGTGACAGGTTCTCGCAGAGGCTCACACACAGGAATAGTCTCGGTCCAAGGGGTAACCTGGCCTCTCTGCCCCTCCTGACCTGTGCAGAGCTCACCATAAAGTCAATCTGGGCAATGGCAGGAATTGTTCCTCCAAAACTGGAACTAGAGAGAAATTTCAGCATGTATTATTTGAGCTTACCGTGAGATTTCCCCTCTCTGATTCAATGTCTTTGCCTCTTTCCTTCTCATGAAGGTGAAGTTGTTTCCCAACCACACATGCTGCAAATTCTTTCCCCTCCTGGCCATTAGCACATCCCTTACTAGGGTAAAACTTTTCCCTCTGAGCAGAGTTTTCAGCCTGTGTAATGTCAGCTTATGTAACACTGTATTTCTCATAATGTTCCTTTCCATCCTGTCCTGTGGCTCTTCCCACCTAAAGAAGCTCATGAGGAAGGTATGTGACATGACTCCTGAATTGCCGTCTTTCAGAGTAAGCTCTGGTTTAGCCAGTAAGCCATAAGATGGTAAAAGAAAACAGGAGTTAAAAATAGGCATATTAATATAGACTAAAACTTGCTACCATTTTGTTTTTTGTACTGTCTTCCTTCATGTTCTGTCTTGACATTGACTGCTGATACTTTGTGCTCATTGTTGCATGAAAAAAAAAGCCTGAAAACTTCTGGGAAATGTAAACCTCTTAAAAGGATGAATGTTGAAAAGCCTTCACTCTGAGTTTGGTTGGGTCTCCCTGGGAGACTTATTTTGGACCATTCGGGGTGGGTCTGGCCTCCAGACGATGTGCAGATGTGCTCATGATTGGCTGACATTCTTACAGTAGCCTTTCCACATATTTTTCTCATCTTAAACCCTGTGGTATAAAGCAAATGGTGATAAATTTGATGTTTTAGCTTTGCAAATGATTAAAGATGGTTTTCTTGTTCATATAATGGAGTTTCTAGACCACTGTCTCATGGTAGTACTTACAGCCCCTGAAAACCTGCTGGCCTCAGGTTATAAATCCAAGTGTCAGGGTTGTGAAACAGCATGCTGCTCCGGGCTTTATGCAGGACTGCTGGAATGGGCGCATAGGACAAATGTCATCTGATATGGCTGCTTAAATCAGCTTTATGTTTTTAATATCTCAGATCATTTGTACCCTCACTTCCAGTACTGCTTTTCATATCCGTATTCATTTTATTTCCTTGCCACGTATTCTCGGTCTTTCCCTCCCCCTCCATTTTGCACAAGTGAAAAGTTGTTCTGATGTTTCTAACGCTCTCGTGTTCCTTTGCATTTTGCTCTGTGACTCTTCCCACACGCTAAAGCTCATGAGGAAGGTATGTGCCATGACTTGTGAATTCCTCTGTTTCTGTCTGGAGCGGTAACTCGTGCAGGAATTCTGGAGGTGGTTGAAGATGAGACGATGCAAAAATACCCTCTGCTGCTTTGCTCTTGTAGGATAAGCAGTGTGATGAGTAATAAGTACTAACTGCTGTTTGGAAACAATGTCTGAAGCACAGGCTGGGCATTGCTTATGTATTCCCCAGCACCTGATGTCTCTAACCAGGCTATTGGTATGGACACCAGTTGATACGAGGAGAGTGTTTCCAAACCCATTTCCTTTGTGCCATACACTGGGGTTAGAGGTGGGACAGCTGTGTCCTGTGGCAATGCCGTGTCCCTCAGTTGGGTGCACCTCTTCCTCCTGTCCTCTCGCCACTGCGCAGAGGCAGAACTCCCTTTTGCAGCAATGTATGGTGATGGGACTTCCACCTGAAGTCATAAGCAACAAGTGGCACCATGTCACACCTAGCTTTCTTTTGGGCTAAGGATGGCACCGAGTGGCATCATTTTGGTTGCAGCATACTTGAGAAAAGGTGTAGTGTTTGCTTTTTCCATAACTGTTGGTATGTTTCTGGGTTAATGTGCATTATGCAAAAATGGGGGTGGCAGGGTTGCATTTTTACTTGATTTTATAAGCTGAATTTTAAAGTTCAGTTCTGGTAAGACAATATGTGTGATTAGCAAAATACAAGGTCATGCTTATTAAAGCATCAACCTGGCAGCCCAAACCCATTTACCTTTCAACTGCCCTTCTGCCTGCCTCTCTCTGCTTGCCCAGCTAGGCTTTCATCAAATGCTTTATCCTGCAGGTTGGAGAGCAGTAACATGCTCATACTTACCTTCCCACATCGGTGTGCAGTCCTACACACCAGTGGTGAAATCCTGGGCACTAAGGAAATCAATGCCAGCTCCTGGGAGCCCATTGATTTCTGCAGTGGCTGGGATTTCTATGCACATGAATAAGAGCGGGTTGTTTATACCCTTCTTGCACATTCAGACCTATGGGTAATGGACTTGCTCTACATACAATAATGTTTTGTCAACCAAAGGCTACCAATGGCACTTGATTTATAATGTTATGAATATATATGTATTAGTCATCTTTAATATCCCAACAACCCTTTCCTTCCTCCACGATTTTCTAATTGCCATCCATATGTGCCCTCTGTTTCTCACTTAATCTGATTAATGATTTTTATCTCTTTAACCCCTCCACCCTGGCTAAGAAAAGTCTAAGGTTTTTTAATAATCCTCTGTCTCTTGCTCTAATTCTCTTATCTTTTTTTTGCATCTCCTTCCCTGCTACTTCCCTTTTAAAGAAGTCCATGAACCAGGTATGTGACTTCTGAATTCCTCTGCGTCAATCTGAAGGGTTATTGTGTTCTGGAAATTCAATTCTGCTTGGCAATTTCACAATTGGGTCATGTGCTGAATTGGGACAAAATGGAAACTTTTCAAACAACCAACCAAAAAGGAAAAAAAAAAAAAAAAAAAGAGAAAGACAAGAAAAAAAGGAGGAACGCCTTGTTTGACAGCTATTGAAAAATATGTTTTTTATTTAGTTAAAACATTATGTTCCAACTTTTTTTTCCCTCTTTCCTCTATGGAAGATTTCCAAATTTTGAAATGAAAATTCTATTTTAGAAGCTTGTGAAGCATTGCCTTTATGGATAATGTGGGGTATATATAGTGTAATGCAAGAACAAATCTGGAATGAGAGATTGCCACCAGGCAAAAAGTGAAAAAGTTTTGTTCCAGAGTTGTTAATATCTCTGCAACCTTTTATAGTTGTGAAACAGTTTCTATTTTTTTTAACCAAAATCTTATCTAAATCTATGTGAGTTCTGAAATATTGAAATTTAATTGAGCTATGATTTCTGTTGGAAAATGATAGCAGTAACTCTAATATTATACTCAGGAATTCAAAGATGGTGGAAGTTCAAATATTAATGATAAACTGAAACTTGCAGCTTCCTTACACCTTCCACCAGTCATAATTTCCCCCCCTCTGTGATGCATAATAATGAGGATAAAGCTAACTGCTGCATGAAAAATGTAATAACATTTTTTGAAGACAAACATCTCAATGTGTAAGTTGCAATAATAGCCACTGACTGGACTCAGAGTCATCTCACAGTGCTTACGGGAATGTTTTAATGTTTATTACCTGGAAAAACAGAAACTGAACTTGCAGCATCCTCTAAACTGTCTATGAAAATTATTCTGTGCCATTTGGAGTAGCATTATTAAAGCAGTCACATCTCAGCAGCCACTCACCCCAGCTATTTCACTCTGCTGTCCACAGAGGGAGACCAGCCTCTTAGTTCAGACCAGATCAATGCTTTTGCCAGGGTTGGTGAAAGCTACCTGATTGATTTTTACATGACTTAATACTTCAACATTCATCTGTGCACTGCTTCTTACATCTCTCCTGTTCTTGTCACTTCTTGTTTCACATCTTTCTCTTCTCCTTTTAACCATATTCATTCTTGTCTGTTAATCTGCACCTAAGATTTTGCTGACTTTGATTTGCACAAGTTAAAGGTCATTGCTTCCATCCCTGCTGCTTTGCCTGGCTCTGTACCTATTCTCCCTGATAGTTATCGAACTGCTACTCATTACCCAGGTGTTGGTCTCTAGCTTTGACAGATGTATGAGCTTGAAATTTGTGAAAAACAGAAGGTATTAACACAGTCTGATAAACAATAAAGCCATACGTACACCCTCCCTAAGTCTTCCTTTGCCTCTATAACATAAAGCACAACAAAACCAAAAGTTTATAAAGACAATGTAAATATAACAAACTTAACAGAAAACTTTTATGTCAGGAGACAATCCTAGATTTTCATATAACTGCATGAAACTGCATTAGTTTCTCTGTTATTTATGCTGTCTTTGCCTACCACATCATCTAAGTCACAGCTTTGGCCTGCACAAGTTCAGCGTTGTTGCTGTTGTGGGGTTCTTGCTCTAATTCCTTTATTTTTCCTTGTTGACTCTTTCCATGTAACCAAGCGCATGTCTGTGACATCTAAATTCCTATGTATTAATCTGAAGCATTCCTGTACATAGGAATTTGAAGATGTTGAAGAAAACCAGAATCATGAAGAATCAATCAATTCTTAAGATTCCCTAAAATTTATTTTCCCTGTAAGAAAGTATATATATTGTTTGTAACTGAAAAGTCACCTTCTAAGAAGCTTAGAAGAAACTTTTCAGTGCCCCTGAAAACTCTTGGGGCTGTGACTACACCACAGCTGGGACAGAGGGCAGATACCTGAGCTGCAGAAACCTGAGCTGCTTCCACTCACAGGGAGTGGATTGCAGCAGGATCCTGGCACGCCGGCTCGAGCAGTTTCTAGTCCCTTGCAGCAGAGACCAGCTCTGTGTAGACACAAATATTTCCAGTTCTGCAGAGCTAAGCCCTGAATCTGCCAGCAGGGATTCTTAGATAGTGGAGCTTCAGATGCAGGCATAGAGATACATCCAAAGCAGCACCTCCTTGCAGTAATTCTCACATCCTCATGCTAGCACTGATAGTTAAAAGGGCGTGTACATAGCTGAAATCTAGGTAATGCTACATGCTTGTAAAACTCTCTTCTTGGGTATGTTTTCTTTCAACTTTAAGGGTCACCAGTGTTACTATACTTGCCCATGGTTTATATATTTGCATGATTTAAACTGTTGCAATTCATCAACATTCAAATTCCCTTTATCTTTTGTTTCTATGGCATCTCCTTCCTGTCTACTTCATATCCCACTGTAATTACTCTCCTTTTCTACTCTTATTAACAGTCTATCCCTATAACCTGGTCTGCAAATGATATTTCTTGAGCCTAGTCTTACCAAAGTTTGAGGTGATCCCCTCCTGAATAACTTATTTCTAATTCTTTTATCTTCCTTTCCTGTGTTTTTCCCCTGACACTTCCTACTAAATGAAGCCCCCCCTCCAGGTATGTGATTTAACTTCTAAACTCCCCAGTGTCTGTCTGCTGGGATGGTGTGTGTGAATGATGGTGGTGTGAATACAAGGTGACAGGGGATAACAACCTATTAGTTAATGATCGATTGTAACTTGCATGCCTTTGGGGTGGTTCTAGTTTAGTTTAATATTTTTTCTCAGTAAAGTGTAATCAGCACTAAGGAGGAGGAAACTCACCCATTGCACGAAAATTTTACTAAAAACTAGGCGAACACATGTATGCTTGTGAAAGAGTAGCTCAGCAAAAATTGTCCTTGTGGCTTGGGTTAGATTCTGCACTGTGATATGAGAATGAATGTTTCTTCCTATAGGGAAGGATTTATTTCAAATCTTGGGGCAGAATTTGGCCCATTGACTGTACACAGGGAATATAAATGCTCTGAGATTTTGTGTTATTTTTATGCCTGCTTTGCAAAATATTCAGTGGTTTGTGTGTATGACTGAAAAGCAAAATCTGCCCTGCAAATTCACGTTGCTAATCTATTCTTGTTTTGTCAAATCCCAGAAGAATGACATGTAGGCCTGCACAGACTTTTAATGAACCTTTTCTTCCTATGAAGTAATCCATTTGTAATTCTGCATTGCAAATGGATGTGAAGAACAGCAGTACATTTATACAGACATCAAAGTTTTCCTCAAGGAAGAAAATGGCCTGAGCCATAGATCTAGAAGGGAACTGACCTCCTTTGGAGGTTAGCTGAACGTTGATGATGAGTTATGGCAGGCATTTCAGCAGGTTTCTGAACCACACTGTATTTATTTCAAATGGCTGAAATACTGCTGCAGTAAAAGGTGAATCCAATAGTGCCTTGAAAGTGATGACTATGTTCATGTGCATATTTCAAATCAAGGTAAACCTTGGTACACTGTGCTGTCAGGTTGTGCTTTATGTCATATTATGCTTAGAAGTGTTTTTTAAGCACTGCACTATTATCACAAATCTGCCTCTTTCACTTTTCCTGACTTGTGTCTTCTGTTTATATGTTATTTCAAATGTTATTATTTTACCTCAGGTTTACTTCTTAAGTTGGTTCTTGGCTCCCCTTTTCCTCTCTGCCCCTCCTCCCCTTTGGCTCAAAAGCTCTTTTGGTGTGTGAAATAACAGGTTTCTCGTTCTCATTCTCTTGCTTTCCATCGCAACTTGTTCCATGACACTTCACACCTGAAGTTCATGAGCCAGGTATGTGACACGACTTCTGGTTTACTCCATCTAGTTGCAACACAAAAGTTCGTATGTGTGTGTCTGAGAGAGAGAGAACAGGAGTCCTGGGCTGGTAGAAGAGAACAAAACAAGAGAAACAAATATTAACCACAATGATTATTTGCAGCCCTCTTCTCCTTTAACCTCCATGCTTACTACTATTTTAACATTACAGCATCTTTAACTCCTGACAGTCTCTCCAGATACCTTTTCTCTCTCCCTTAATTCACTAATTCCTTTATTTTTTCCCCCCTTCATGCATTCCCTGGTCTCTTTCTCGGGATTCCAAGAGCTTTAAATATCTGTTCTGTTTTTTTTTTCTATTTCCTGTCTTTCCATCGCTGCTTGCACCATGACAACAGCAGAGGAAGCTCCCGAGGAAGGTATGTGATGTGCCTACAGACTCAACTTTCTTCTCTTTCAGTGCTGGGGAAACAGTGTTAAAAACACTGACCTCGTTCAAGAGCAAAGAGAGTAGGGGAGGGAAATGATCCTTCTGGATGGATTTGGATGAACATGGTGAAAAGGGCCGTATGTTTGCCAAATCAGGTCACCAAAAAGGTGTTTTTTTCTTCTCGTTCAATCTCCAGAGGGTCTAAGGTTCCCAGCATAGCAGGAAGGGAGTGGGGACAGTTGCTCTCAGAACAGTGCTGGTTGTGAATTGACTGCTGTGCTTCTTCTCTTTTTCTTTTATCCTTCAACCTACAGCTGATGAAGAAGGCGAATACAATGATGGTAGCTTAGTGTTGTCTTAGGACAACAAAGTCATCTTCCTAACATCTCACTTTCTTTTCTGTGTCTGTTTTTGTTCCTCACTTGAATTTAAACTCAGGAACTGGGCCAAAACATCTCTGCCGCAAAGAATCGCTCACTGTGCATATCCAATCACCCTTGGGGGGTATCTAGTGTATTGAGAAGCTTCTACATCCTCCTCAGGATAGTAGATGATGAAAATCAAACTCCAGAAGCTTGCTCTGGAGTTGTCTTTTAGGTGGAACCTGTTGTGTTATAGCTCTCATCAGCAAAACTTCTTCATCCCCCAAAAATTACGAAAGCATCTCTTAAATCATATGGCATACTTGAAAATGGAGCTGAGCCCTGCACAGACATGCCATCCTCACTCAGCCTGAGCAGATCATGGGCTCCAGGTCTGAATCTACAGAATTTTAAACTTCTGCCCAAACCACACATTTAAAATTGTGCCAAACATCAAATGTGGATTAATTTATTCAGACGGGTGGGGCAGGCCATGGGCTTAAGATAGTCTGGTTGTAATACTTGGCTGAGTGGGCGCTGGAGTACACATGTGAAAAGACCAAATCTAAATGTTTTGCTCTTGTATGTGGGCAAGATAACTTAGCCCCCCACTTGGCCAGTTTAAATGTATAGAAAGACTGTCACAGAGTTTTAGAGGCCTTTGAAGTCAGTTCTGTTCTGATTGTCCCAACCCCTAGAACACCCAGCCACCTGCTTTGAAAGACAAAGCCCAACATCACTTGAAAACACCCTGAATTTTCTGTGCTACCTTGTTTTGTTTTGTTTTGTTTTGCTTTTGTAATTTTTTTTTTTTGTTCATTTGTTTTAATTTTCTTGCTTGCTTTTCAGGCTTTTTTCTAATTTAGGGAAATACCCTGAGGACCTTCCTGAGTCCCTCTTTATCCTTCTTTTTTTCATTCTTTCCTTTTATTTTTAATAGCATATTGATTTTCTTTTTTTCCCAAGGACACAGTGTGAGTTAGATATGCTGCTTCTGAGAAGTGGAATTAAGGGAGGGTGTTTAAGGGTTTCTGAGTGAAGTAAAGACAGTTCAGATGGATTCCCAGAGAAGGGGAGCACGTGTGAATATCTCATAGATTGGGAAGAAGAAAGCGGGGTGGTATTTATGGTGGTGTATCCCCTCCCTCTGCTAGCCTTTTGGAAACCAGAAACTCAGAGATTCTCTAATCACCAGGGCAGTGAACTTGGATTTCCAGTGTCTCTTGCCTTCTTTTGGCAGGGTTGTATGTGGGGATTTTGTCTCAGCCCCATGGTTCATAGTCAGAATGACCAGAATGTCAAAATCCACCATAGGAACAGGAATTTGCTATGGCAATTCCTGCTTGTCAACAAATTTTGGCCCAGTTCCTTGACTCTTGAAAGAAGGGGCATTTCAAAAAAATCCCATCCCTGGGCTGCTTTTGGTGCATACAGTATGGATCAATGCGTTGCAAAGGACAGATTTATTACTGTTTGCTTTTTAATAAAACATCCCCTTTTCTGGTTTTCTGGAGGTACCTTTAGGTATTCTAACTAGAATTCTTATTTCAAGAACAACTAACCTTAATTTTTCTTTTTATTTTTACAATTGTTTGTTGGTTTAATGAAGCTTAAAGTGCTGATTCGGTGGGAGCTGAAACCAGTTTCACAGTTTTTGACAGACAGGTGTTGATCCTGGCAACCAAGGTCAACAAACAAAACCAGTCATTTCCTGTCTGCTTTTTTTCCCCCTCTCTCTTTGAAGAGTTACTGACTGGCAGCTTTAAGCTAAACAGGAATGGTGATGAAAATTCTCTGTGTATGTCAAGAAGGAAGGGAATCCTGTGTAAACAACATCCCTGATAGACTGGTTAATCATGATTACTTTTCCTCTCTCCAGGTAAAAGGCAATTTAACTAATGTGTTAAGAAGCTCACTGGCTATTTGAGAAGCAAAACAATTAAAAATATAACTGAAGAAATACAGAAGCATGCTAATGGTATTTCTCTTCAGGAGCAATTTGTGACTTCCTTTATAGTAGAGCGGCCTAAAATACTTTTCAAATTACTTGCTGTTTATTTTATTAGCTTCGCTCTGGCATCTAGAGGCCTCAACTGAGACATGTTTTGGTAGGCGGAGTTCTTGCAGTAAATGAGAAGAGTCTACCCCCCAAAAAATGTCATTAATGAAATTTATATGGGAAAGGGTTAGAGGAAGGAAAGGTTGATTTCTGATCTCTTTTATGCATCTCTCATGTATTTTCCTTTAATTATCTCAATAATCCATTTCCAACCACTCTCTCAAATTTTTATTATCCAACAATCTTACAACTGATTTCCTCCACTAAATATTTTCCAGTGTAAGATTTTTGCTATTTTTTCCTCTTACAATCATAGAATCGTAGAATATGCTGAGTTGGAAGAGATCCATTAGGATCACTGAGTCCAACTGCTGGCCCTGTGCAGGACACCCCAATGTTTCATTTTATTTTATTCTACAGTGTTCCATTTGCTATTCCAAATTTCCTCCATCAGTCTCAAAATGCAAATAAGCATTTGAAACAATGTAATATCTTTCTGTAGTATGATTTTGATAACAGGCCAAATGTACCCACTCCTGAAGAGGCTGTTTTTACTTTTACTTTACAAATCTGGTTAGTTTTTTTTTTTTTTAAAATCAGATTCAATAGGCTGTGAGCTTTTTTTCCTCAGTTCCTCCCACTGAGCCAACACAGGGAGAGTCTTGTACTGCAGAATCCATCAGCATCCCTGAAAGTTCAAATATAGTGTGTGGTTATGCAAGTCAACCTGGGTCTCTGAGAGAATGAGCCAGAAAAAACACATAGGTTTAATTTACTTCTGTTTGTGAGAATAACAGTGCTGAACTTGCTGGCATTACACTGGAGTTAATAACTAAAGTTTAAAAAGCAGAGCAGGGATGGGAGCTGATCACAAGCACAAATATTAAGCAAGTAACTCATAAGACCAGCACATTTCTGAGAGCCAGGGAAAGGTCACTTGTTGCAAGGGAAGAATTCTGACAGCCAGAGAACCCAAGGTGACAGTCTCTGTGATGGGTTAGCCTGCCTATCAGGGCATTATGCCTCTCCTGGAGATGAAAAGATCATTCCCATTGATGCCCATGGGAATTTTGCATGTACCTCAGCAGGAGAGGATGCTTGCTAAGAGAGGATGGCCTTTCCAAGCTGGGTTTGAGGAGCACCACACAGTGCAGAAGAATAAGCATCTTCCCCATGGCACCAAGGTATCTCAGGGACATGTGCCTTAAGCTGTCTTGGAAGCCAATGAACAGAAAATGTATGTCATAAAGATTTTTCCATCCTGGCCTCCATGTGAGGGATTTGAACTAAACTGGTAAAGCCTAGTTGTCATTGAGATGACTGTGAATTCAGGTTGCCTTTAGCAAAAGAAGTGCCGATTGAAAAAGGCAACATTTTCTTCTATCCTCCAGCCCAGCTATCCTCCTTAGAGCTTTGGTTAGGATGGTTTGAGGAAAATAATTTTGCATTTACACAAAACCATTGCTTTCCAGATGCTATGTTTGAGACTTTTATACAGTCTCTTGATTCTTTTCTGCCAAATTCTGTTTCAAGGGTAAAAACAGATTCACTCCTAGCAAAAGGGGTGTGTGAGTGTGTGTATTTCTTTTGGAAGTGCTTGAGATTTAACCAGTTTCTCTGGGATGTTTCCCCTAAGATCATATTTCCCTTCCCTCCTTTTACTTTAGCAGCTGGCGTGATCTCTGTTGTTTTAACTTTCTCCCTCTTTTTCCCTTCCTGTTTTGCTCCATCCTTCCAAATACAGAGGAGAAGCCCAGAATAAAGGGAGTTTCAGAACCCTGGGATCATTTTTCTGGTCTAGCAGAAGCTCTTAGATTGTCTATTAGGCAAATGGCCACTTGAAGCCTTTATCCAACTCTCCCGCATGCAACATCCATCTGTTCCTGCATGCCTTTCCAGGATGTCTGATTCTTTCAGAGGATGCCTTAGCAGCAGTTACTGGTCTGGATCTTAAGACCAGTTCCTTGTAGAATCAGGCAGCTTGTGAACTGTCCGAGATACAGTGTTCTCATAGTACCCCAAAATACAGGCAGCTCAAGAGTAAATCCTCCCTGAGAGGCCACAGCTGGGAAACTACCTGTCCCTCCAGGACTGCTGACAGTAGGAAGGGTGGCAAATGTTGGGCTGGGCTGAGTTAAACTTAACTAAAGCTTCCTATAAACCTTCTGGCTCTGGGCCCCAGCACCCTCCCTTCCCGCTCTGCCGGCTGCCCAGAACGGAGTGTGCAGCACTGTGCAGACGGCCTCACAGACCAACATCTTTCCATGTGGTAGGGAATGACCATAGGCTTTGGAGTGTAAAGGGTTTTTGGGCGTAGCACCTGACCTGCATGGCCTTCCAGGAAGGACAGTGCTCCTTAGTACTATCCTGAGTAGTTTGCCATTGATTTGCTGTTTCACCCCTCTGTATTTCCACCAACACTCCTCCTTATCAGCATTGTTTCTGAGGGCAGGTCTGGTGAGGTCAGGACATGCTACTTAAAAAGCTGCCTGTTCTTTAAGATGAAAATCCTTCCTTTTTCTTTTATTTTCTTTTTGTTTTGTGTTCGACTCTCTGCAGACTAACTGCTCCTAAAATACCAGAGGGTGAGAAAGTAGATTTTGATGTAAGTATTCCTGAGACTGGCGGTGTTTGTCTGTACCTGATTCATACACATGTGTGTAAACCCACATAACTCCTTCTGTACTGGATACTGCTGAGGATAAAGGCAAGGACCAGAGTGTGGTTGCTTTGCCACTTGTTTTCAGTAAAAGGCTGCTCTCTGCTCCCTGAAGCTGTCTGGATGCATTCACTGATAATGTGACTCAGCTAAAATCATGTATTTCTTTTTTTTTTCACCTTGAATAGTTGAAGCCAATATAAGAAGGAAAAAGCAAATGCTTTAGGAGATCTCAGATCCCTTGTCCCATCCTTGTAAATGGTTTGAAAGTTGCAGGCCTTCAGCTATTGCTGAGAAAAACTAGCTGAAATTACAATAAAAAAAGAGAGATCCAAATACCTTCCTAGAAAGTTGATAGAAAATTGAAGAAGTTCTGGTGTTGAAAACCTCCACAGGTTTTCAACCTTCCTGCCCAAAATGCAGGAATATTTTCTAAGTAAGATTCATTTTCCAAAGCAAAGAGGACGAAGCTAAGTATATGCAAAGATAGGTATGTAAGCAAAGCAAGGATAAAATACGGTATAGGGGAATGGGAGATTTGGATTCTTTACCCTTCTGGGCTTCTGACTGTCACCTGGAATGAGTCACTGATTGCACCAACAGCCTTTTAAGATAATCCCATAGATTTTTCATGGATATCTACAGACACTTTCTGTTTTTGTTTCTCTGTGTATATGCAGGGTGCTGGGAATGTCCAGGGCATGTTCCTGGAGCAATATAGGCTTAATGCACTTTCCTGCTCTTCTAGGACATCCAAAAGAAAAGGCAGAACAAAGATCTGATTGAACTGCAGGCCTTGATTGACAGCCACTTTGAAGCCAGGAGAAAGGAAGAGGAAGAGCTTGTTGCCCTCAAGGAGAGAATTGTGAGTCCTTGAACTGCCATTTCCCTGTACTAGATTGAGAGATCATCTGTAGATGAGAAGCTCAATCCATTAGTCCACTGACAGACCTTGACTGAAAGCTGCACTGCCATATACAGAAGTGACTGCTCAAGTCACCATTTAATGACCTTTTCCCACATCAGTCCCCTCTCAGCCTCTTTTTTTATTTCTGGGAATTGTACATGAGACCCTTTTGCATGTTCTAGCAAGGGAGAAGGTGGCTCACTCTTTATGAAACTAAGCTCTTGGCAGTGGTGTGTAATAGTGGAGGCAGACAAAGCCACAGTGATGATCCAATGCCTCTGACACTGTTTCTTGCAGGAGAAGCGCAGAGCTGAAAGAGCAGAGCAACAGAGAATCCGGGCTGAGAAGGAGAAGGAGCGTCAGGCAAGGCTTGCGGTAAGTGTCTTTGCTTCTCTCTCCTTGTCCCAACATCAAACTGGAGGAGATCTCTAGAGACAGGAAAAACTGCAGGTTCTGCCTGTCTCAGTCCAAAGATGAAATGACCACCCTTTAAAACAAGGGCAGAAAACAGGAGTTGCCAATTCTCATCAATATACTTCTCTGATCACATTCCCTGCAGTGATGCTGGTTGCTGGGGAAGCTGGGAGTATCCCCTAGAGTAATCTGCTCTGTGTGTTGCACTCCACAGGAGGAAAAGGCACGGAGAGAGGAAGAAGATGCCAAGAGAAAAGCTGAGGATGATCTGAAGAAGAAGAAGGCTCTGTCCTCCATGGGTGCAAATTACAGCAGTTATCTGGCTAAGGTAAAAATCGTATATCAATGGATTTAACATAAAAACATTAAATCATGGGGTTGGCTGGAAACAGGCTTTATTAGAATTGAGAAAACAGCCCAACTTTTCTTCTTTTGGATCCCCAGCAGCTTGTCTTACATGCTCTGTCGCTGAAATGGTTTCATTCAGGCTTAATTTCTGCAGTCTGATGTTAATTAATATTCTGAAAACAGGCTGATCAGAAGAGAGGAAAGAAGCAAACAGCTAGAGAGACAAAGAAGAAGATCCTGGCAGAGAGGCGCAAGCCCTTGAACATTGACCACCTTAATGAAGACAAGCTGAGGTAACAAGCTTATCCTAATTTACTGAATGTAATCCACGCAACTTTGGTCTTACTGGAGTCTTCTCTAGTGACCAAATCAGGAAGAGGAGGGGGTCTTCCCTGAAATTTATCACAGGACATGGTGAAGTTGTGCCCTTCTTTGATGTGGAGAATGGAGGGGAAATGGGGATGTAAGGAAGTGTTGAAATGGATTGATAGCCATCTAGCCATGGTCCTGGCATAGCTCAGTTAGCCTCTCCTGCTAGTTAGGATTGGTCATTTACAGGACTAGCTTTGAGATTAGTTGAACAAGCCTACAGAATAGTATCTGTAACATTCCCAGGGGTGAGTTAGAGCTGCTAAGGTATGAATATGGATCTCTATGAAGGCTGGAGGTTTGGAATCTGAGTATTCTGTGCAGAGTAGTCATCAGATGATAGTCTGGACTGCACATGTTGGAGTTTACACATGATTGAAAGATGAAGTTGGCTCACCTCAGCCCTGACACAGATAAGATTGCACAATGGCAGCTGCTCTACTTATCTGAGTGACCTTCAGAGTCCTGCTTCCTTCTGGTCTGATTCCACTGGAGTCTTATCTTTCAGTAAGAGTTAGGGGGAAAATTAGGGGAATTATGCTAATGTGTGACATATGCAAGACTGCAAGTCTAAAAGCTTTGGTGGTGAGAAGGCGGGAAAATATGACCTTGAAAATGGTGAGTAGCTTTCAGAGAACAGAAAGGGTTTACAGAAAGATGAGTGAACTGCATTAAATAAACTGTAAAAAGCCTGGTTACTAGTGATGTGAAAACCATGGAAAATATCTTATGTCATGTTTCTCCCATCTTCCTTTTCCCATAAACACACAGGGACAAGGCCAAGGAGCTATGGGACTGGTTATATCAGCTGGAGACTGAAAAATATGACTTTACAGAGCAGATCAAGAGGAAAAAATATGAGGTGAGTTGAGAGACCATTTTGTTAATGGCACTGGGTCCAAAATGTAAAAATCTCAGTGACTCCTCTGGCAAAAGCCATGTTGTGGCATCATTTGGGTCTCCAATGCCCTTTTGCAATATTTAAGCAGCAAGATGCTTGGAACTGCATTCCCCTAATATACATACTTGAACTGGATTTCACATTTTAGGCTGAAATTGGATAGATCACCCTCAAGGTTTTCAGTGCCCCATGGAAAGGCAATCCCAATGGAAAACAGACTCCCTGCCCTCTGCTGAAACACATTTGATTCATTCTTGTTTATCTCTAAGTAACTGTGACCTGAAAATTCAGAAACTCAATTCATTAATCTCCATTGCAAAGTAATAGTTTTACATCCATCCTTGATTTCAAAGTTGAATGTTGTGAGTTTTATTCCATCCCAGACAGAATACCTGTGGGCTGAGCTCTCTGGAGTCACTGAAAACTGTCTCCAGACAGGAGCATCTGACTGAAGTGTCATACGGTAACAGGAAGTGGACATGTTTCCTTCACAAAGTCACTGGATAGGGCTGCACTCACCCATTTCAGGTTTCAGTGGCTGAGAAATCCTACTGGATCTCTCTGTCTCGCTCTCCTTTTAATTTCCAATCACACAGACACATGCTGACGGGGAGTGAGCAACACCAATGTAACTATCTCAATCTCTCTTAGATTTTAACAATGCGTTGCAGGCTGCAGGAGCTTTCCAAGTTGTAAGTACAATGAACTTGCCTGTGTAACAGCAGCAGCAAAGGCTACCAAATGCATGAGCCTGCCGCATGGTCAGAGACCAGGTGCCAGATGGGAACTGGTGCTTGGCTCCAAGTGCAGAGAGAAAAGAGAAAACTGGATCTGGTGTCTCTCCATTCACTTCCTTTTTCTCTCCCTTTCCATTTTTTGAAAAGATATAAAGTGGTAATTTAGAAAAGAGCCAAGAGTCCAACAGGGATGTGGCTGAAGAAGTGAGCATGGAACCCAGTGCACCTCTAAAATAATTCCCTATCCAAACCTCTGGTATTGTGTGCATGGGGTGTCACCCTGATGCACCTGGGATACACGCAAAAAAGCTTAGGGATACATGTGTAATAGCTTGGACTTCACAAAAAAGAATAGTATAGGGTTTAGAAAGCCTCTTTACCTTGTGGCACATGGTTATCCAGTTCCAAAGTATTGGAGAGGGCTAGCTTAAGGATGACAGGTCAAGTGGGTGTGGAAAAACAGGAAATAAGGCAGTGCCAGGGGATGGGTACATGATCTGGTAATGAAACCTCTGCATAAACAAAGAGAGAGGTGCTCACTGATGAAAAGCAAGTAACAAAAAATTCAAAGAATGAGGAAAGCAGAAGGAAAATGCACGGCTAAGATGGGAGAAGAAAGAACAAAGGGAAGATGATAGCAAGAAAAAATTGAGGAGAAAGGTAAGTGAAAATAGCAAAGAGAATGAAGGAAACACAAGCAAGGATGCAAAAGGGAGAGACAAAGGAAGGAACTGGGACACACAGAAATGGAGCCATTCTTTAGTGTCTGTTGCTCTTTGGTGCTTCATTGGAGAGTGAGTGTTATAGTCACAATCACAAGGTTATCGCTGAAGGTAAGTCTTGAGTCTTTTGAGTCAAAATGAAGACAACTGGTTCTCCTCCACACTCAGGAAAAATACCTGGTTGTAAAAAACAATTTAAACTTCTGAGGCAGATAATAAAACTTCCACGAGTAAGTACAAAAGCAGGTGATCTGTTGATCTGTTCTTCCTTGTGTTCTTGGTAATGTTTCAGTCTCTTATTTTTTTTCTGTTTGCCATGGAAAGACATGAGCCAGGAAATACCAGCTGTTGGGACAACCTGAATGTATGACTTTTCTTTTTCTTCTTTTGCATGCGGGGAATGTCAAGCGCGACTCCAAATATTCAAATTTTGGGTCACCAGTTCTTGGACCTGCAGAGTCAGTGCAGAACTTAAAATTGCACCAAAAGCAGATGCAAAGTGTACATCTCGGAAAAGGCATTTTTCCAACTCAGGGAAAAGAAGTAGAACCCTGACTCAGTTCCAAATGAGAGGGTGAAGGGGCAAAAGAGGGCTCTCTATCACACCCTAGTCTTTTTGTGGACTTTTCCAGTACCTGAGCTGGAAGAGTCTCAGGATTTCAGTAGCAAGTCTAGGCCTACCAACCAGGACTGAGATGCTAAGTCAGGCCATAAGGTACTCATCCTGTGCAAGGTAGGTGTTTGGTTTCCCATGCATCAGGTTGAAATACGCAGTTTACTCATGGCTAAACAGAGATGCTTCATCTGGTACGACAGACACTCTGAAGGCTTGCAGTCATCAGCAGAGCTTGGGAAGGTTTTCACAGCCCCCACTTCAACCCTCTCCTCTCTTGTTCCTGAGACTCCCCTTGAATATTTTCTTCTTCAGCCCCTTTAAAAGTCATCTTCTCTTATCAGATGAGTGGCTGGGAAGGTGGTGACTGCTGCAAGCTCCGAGCCTCCTACTCTGCCAGCCCAGCAAAGATACTCCAGCAGAATGTGACACCCATCTTCCATTCTTGAGGTCCTCATCCAAAGACCATGGAAGCTCTTTGAGCTTACACACTTCCTAATGTGTAGGATTAAGGGAAAAGTGAGGAGGTGAGGTCACCACATGCAGATGATGGAGGCATCCATTTCCAGCTGGGCAGAACTCATTCTGGTTCACTCTCTTACAGTTTGGTATGTGAGTTCATAGGAGATTAATTTGAATATGTAAAACTCTTCTAGTAAGGGTTATAAAATTCTAGCTCCTCTTTCCCTTGATGTGTGAAGCTGGCTTGCAGATTTATTGCCAAGAAGAAACATTTCTCTTCTTCAACTGTGGGTGAGCTTTTATTTCAAAGGAAGTATTTATTCCTACTCTAGGCACCTGTTTCCAGCACTTCAGCAGGTAAAACTCCCCTCTCCTTGAGGGAAAAATGTTTCTTGATCTCTAAAAACGCTGGTCATATATGTTGTTTGCAGATTGTCACCCTCAGGAACCGGATCGATCAGGCCCAGAAGCAGTAAGTACTTATATCCCCTTCCTAGCTCCTGGACTGGGGATATCTTCTCAGTGTTCAAATTAGTCACTTCAGCCTCAACACCGACATTTTCTTGTTGCAATGGAATGAGGCTAGAGATGGAAGGGCGACTCCCATCCTGCCTCACATTGAGAAAATGAAGGGGAAACTGAAGTGAATGTAACACCTAACAAGAAAAAAAACCCCATGTTTCTTCACACCCTGACTTCAAAATTGTCATCTGCTTATTGCTGGGTTTTTCAAACACCTGACCAAGGTGCTTTGAATACTTGAGGGAATACAACCCTTGTTTACAAAGGGTAAACAAGTGGTTGCTAAGATTACAAGGAATGGTGTGTAACAAGACTAACATCATGGGATTACTGTAGTGAGTTCTTTTCACTCATTTCTCTCCCACTTTCCTTCACTACAAGACTATTTTATTAGACTTTTTTAAGCCTTATATCTTTAAGTATTCTAGGTATTTTTAATGAACTTATGAGAGACCAGATGTAGATAAAGCCTGGGGGCTAGGACATAGAAAACTGACAGCCACAGAGAAGTAACTGCAGGGAAGCAAAATAGGAGAGCTCTCCAGTGGTGGGATTTGATCTTCTCTGTGCTTCTGTATCTTAGCAAAGTCATGCCAGGAATGAAGCAGTGGTCTTTGGTGACATCTTTGAATGATAGGAGTGACCAGACAATACCCTCCCACTTCCCCAAGGCGCCCTGCTTTAACAGATAAATGGAACACTGGGCGCTTGGTTGTCTGTAGATGCCAAACGTAACGCTTGACCTTCACGTGGTATTTTCTGTACAGAGCTGTAGGCTGATAAACCTCAGCAGAATGTGCAGCTGCAGAAGGATGCCCTGGTTTGGCTGGACATTGCTGCTCTTGAGAGGCACTACCACACCACCCACAACAGGCTACTGCATGCCTGCTCCCCCAAAGGACATGATACTCTCTCAGGACATCATTTGAAAAGGTTGCACTGAGAAGTCCACAGCTCATGAGATTTCTGTGTGCTTAAATTTCTATCCAGCCTAGACACCATCATTCCAAAGCATTGCCTGCTAACGTGTTATACAAGGATTAAGTGAGTCTTTTGCTTCAGACGTTATTAAGGCTCCTTAAGCACAGTCTAAAGGTTAGGCATAACATCAAACATCACAGGTGCTTGTGGAGATAAAAGGACTCTGTCTTTGTTTGAGGAGTTATGCAGCTACTATACTGGGTTTTGAACCTTCAGAAAGGCCGGCAAAAGGAACATTGAGATTAATTTAACATAAGCAGAAAAAGCATGCTCTCTCTCACATTAAAGGTAAATTTTTTCAACTAGACCAAGCCTATCTTGGTCAAAAGGTAAAGTATACACATGTGTATGTCTCTGTCACTGTGCTACATCCTTCCATAAATATGGCTGGTGCTCTTGAACCAATCCATGGGGCAGCACAACAAAAATCTCCCCAGATGTGACATCCCCATGTTTCTCTGCTCCTGGAGTAACCAGTGGTTCTGAAGAAGGCCTCCCTGTTGGTAGCAAGGCCCCACCACCTTGTGCTTGGCCCCCGACCCCATGCTCTTCTGTGTCAAAGAGCTGCCCCCAGTTTGCATGTGCTTTGGTTCAAGAAGCAGCCTCATCAGTGTGTGTGTAAGATGAAAAGGTTTGGGGGTGTGCCAAGCCCCATAAACCACGGTGCTGCTAATGGGAACTAGTGCGGAATCTAACTCAACTAACTTCACACCTAGCCCCATGCTGACTCCAGGTGTGTCTGCTTCTCAGTCAGAAGGTAAGTGGCTTGCATGTAGGATTGCCCTTCTGTGTGCAAGAAGATACTCTTGGAGAGGGTTTGCCTCAGGTGCTTTGAGTGGGGAGTTTAGCTGGACTGCTCCATGAGCAAGACAGGGATACTGATTTGAGAGGAGGCCTAAAGAGTTGGTTGGATTTCTTTGGAGGCTCTTGCTTTCATGATGTAAGTGAGAAGCCGCTCTGCCTTTGCTAAAGCAGAGCAGTTCTTAGTTGTATTTAAATTAGTGCTCAGCTTTTTGCCTCTACTAATAGATGATTAGAGCATCTGGGGAATTCGATCAGAGCTTTTTGATATTGAGGAAATTTTTCCAAAAAGAGCTCTAAATCCTAAAATCCAGATCATAGCAGATTTGCATTCAGAGAAACATCAAGTCTGTGGTTGGACAGGCCTGTCATTTAGTTTGGAGACCACCTGGATTTCTGCCCTGATAATGCAGGAAATCTGGAAGGGTCCACCTCTTTCAGGCATGCACATCCTGGTCTTTCACTTAGACCCCCAGGGGGAATCTCTTTCCACAGTATTTACAATATTTTTCTTAGGATGTGGTCTATGACGGGTGTGCCCAACCTGTTAGAAGTGAAAGCAGCTCAAACCTAATCTAATAGTCAGAAATGCAGAGTGGCCACAGAGCCCCACCACTTCCATCATACTGACAAGTTTTTCTTTCTTTTTGTATTGTAGCAGCAAGAAGGCAGGAGCCAAGGGCAAGGTTGGCGGGCGCTGGAAGTAAAGAACCAGGCAGGATGGCCTTTAGTGGTGCGCTGAAACCTTGCTGGTCTCCTCTTTCTTCCTTCACCGATCACTTGTGTTCTCACGCCTCAATGATAACAAAAATTGCATCAGCCTGGATTGGCTATTGCTGCTGCTTTTCTTCTCTTTCTTCCTGGAGGGGTCTGGTGGCTTCCTCAAGGGGAAGCAGGTTCCCTGTGGAACTGAGATGACTCCTTGCTGGCATTTTCAATTCCTGCTGAACATGTCCCTTTATCCTCCTGATACCAGCCCTATGCTCTCCTGTAGATTGCTGTGTACAAATCTCTGGATTTTGTAAATAAAGCACAACCAGTACCTACTCCAATGACAGCCCTCTGGAGTGGTGTTTCATATTTTATTTACCACCATCTCATTTTGCAAGGATTTTGGAGTTGGTCCAAATCCTTATTTAATATCATTTGTTCTGGCTCTGCAACTGAGAATGAGGCTCAGTATCTTCAACAGGGACCCAGGACTAGGGGCCTGTTTTATAGCCATCTTACAGGTAGATACCAAAACCCGACTCTTCTGGGCGAGCTCATAATCTGGGTGCCAAATGTTGTTGAAATTGACTTGAAAGTTTGAGTGATGAAGTGAATCAGAGAATTGGGAATAAAAGGCAAAATGTCTAGAAGTGATAGTTTTCAGCACATACCTCTCCATAGATGCAGATGAATCACAGTGCAAAATAGAGTATGACACATTCGAATATTATATTAGAATATTTATTTGGGCCATTAACCTGCATACAATATTAAAGCCCAATACTGAAGTGTGAATTACTTGGTTAATTCAATGTAGATGTCAAAACACAAATGATTGTTACCAAATTTGAGATGTGAGCTATTCTGTAGGGCCTCTTGCCTTTGCCAACCCTTGAAATACCCTTCTGGAGGGAAATCCACTAGGGATGGTGGTTCTCCCCCATGGTTCTTCAGCCTGTTTCTGGTGCCTACATGTACATCATGTTGGCACATGCTGCGGCGTCATGGATTTGTAAGAATGGTTTAGGTAAGAAGAGACCTTAGAGATCATCTAGTTCCAAACCCCCTGCCATGGACAGGGACACCTTTCACTAGACCAGGTTGCTCAGAGCCCCATGCAGCCTGGCCTTGAGCACTTCCAGGGATGAAGCATCCACAACTTCTCTGGGCAATCTGTTACAGTGTCTTACCACCCTCACAGTAAAGAATTCCTTCCTAATATCTAATCCAAACCTGTCCCCTTTCCATTTAAAACAGTTGCCCCTTGCCCTGTTGTGACAGACCTTAGTATTATAAGCCACAATGAGGGCTTCCTGGAGCCTTTTCTTCTCTGGGCAGCACAACCCCAGCTCTCTCTGCCTGTCCTCTCATGGCAGGTGTTCCAGCCCTCTCAGCATCTCCACAGCCTCCTCTGGATGTTCTCCCACAGCTCCGTGCTTGCTGTGCTGAGGGCCCCTGGGCTGGACTGCACCACCACTGGGGTGTCACCAGTGCAAAGGACAGGAGGAAGTAGCCTGTCCTCAAGATCCCGTGGAATGCAGGTGGCACTGCTAAGTCCCACAGAGGTGACATTTTCACAGAATCACAGAATTGTTAGGGTTAGAAGAGACCTTTGGACATCATCTAGTCCAGCCCCCCTGCCAAAGCAGGGTTCCCTAGAACAGGTGACACAGGAACATGTCCAGGTGGGTTTTGAATGACTCCAGAGAAGGAGACTCCACAATCTCCTTGGGCAGCCTGTTCCAGTGCTCTGCCACCCTCCATGTAAAAAGTTCTTCCTCATGTTGAGGTGAAACTTCTTGTGTTTTAGTTTATGGCCATTGCTGCTTGTCCTGTCACTGGGCACCACTGAAAAGAGTCTGGCACCATCCCCTTGGCACCCAACTTTAAGACATTTATACATATTAATGAGATCCCCTCTGTCTCTCGCAGTTTCTCCGCATAAGGGAGATGCTCCAGACCCCTCGTCATCATTGTTGCCCTCCCCTAAACCCTCTCCAGTAGCTCCTTGTCTTTCTTGCACTGGGGAGCCCAGAACTGGACACAATACTCCAGATGTGGCCTTTTGCAGACACTTCCCGCCGCCTGCCCCGGCCTTGCGGCTCCTCTAGAGGACCCTCCTGGCCCCAAGGCTGTGTCCCGCTCCCCGCGGCGAAGGGTCGGACCCGCGGCCGCACCCGCAGCTCACACGGCCCCCCCGCGCTCCTCCGCTCCAGCAGGGGGCGCAGCTGCCGCCGCCGGGAGCCGCTCTGGCGCCGCCGCTTCCAGCCGGGCTCGGCCATGGCGGCGCGCGCCAGGAGGGTCGTGTGAGCAGGACGGGACGGGCGGCGGTGGGATGCGGTGGGATGGGGTGGGATGGGATGGGGGGCCGGGCGGTCCCGGGCCGGGGCAGCGGGGTGTGGGGCCGGTCAGTGAGGCGGTCAGTGCGCGGCGCCGTGTCCCCGCAGGTACCCGCTGTTCCAGAGGGGCGGCCCGCAGCTGCGGATCTTCCGTCCCAACTTCTTCATGCTGGCGGTGCGGCCCGGCGTCCCGCAGCCCGAGGACACCGTCCAGTTCCGCGTGTCCATGGAGTGAGTGCGGGCACGGCAGCTGGTGGTGGCGGCGGAGGGGCGGGAGGGCGGAGTGCCCCCGTGGGCAGCGGGAAGGGGCTTCTGCGCCGCGGAGACCTTGTGGGAGGCAGCGAGGGCACTCCTGTGCCGAGCCTTGCGTGGCTCCTCTCACCGAGGGTTAGCGAGGCTCAGCCTTCCCAGGGACGGGCTTAGAGGAAGGAAGCGCATGTGAATTTGATCCAGAGGAAGCAAGGTGATGTCCAGGTGTTTGTCAGGACTCTTCCATCCTGACCAGTCTGATTGCACAGAGCCCACAAGCCTGTGGCAGGTTCTGGTAATTCCAGAAACTCCTACTCAGAAGATAAAGAAAGGGCTCTCAGCTCAGAGAGTGAAAAAGCCTGTTGAATACAGAATATATCTGGCACTTTGACTGTTGAGGCTACAGAGGATAACATATTTACCAGTTGTTACAGTTTATGGATAATGAATTGCTGTAGCGGTGTGTGATCTATGTTGAGTTTATACTTTTGTGCAGTAAAGCTACTCTGGTTAAAAGAAGAAGAAAACATATTTATTCCAGAGTATCAACCAGTCTCTGGTTTATTTTTTAAAAATATTTACAGTTTTTCTTCTTTCTTTCCCCAAAATGTTTTTGCATTGCCTAGAATGACAAAAGTGGATATCAGGAATTACCTTGAAAGAATATACAATGTACCGGTAGCTGCTGTGAGGACCAGGATACAGTATGGTAAGTGCAGTTGAGTAATCCAAAGGGATGAATACAGCATCCTTCTGCAGCCAGAATGGACTTATAGCTATCAAAAGGTCTGTTAGATTTCAGCAAACTTTGGTTCCAGGGCTTAGCTGGTGACGTCAGTCAGCTTAGTTGTTTATTCATTCCTTCAGATGGATATGCACCACTTCATATTTGAATGGGTTGATTAAATTATGATGTAAGTTTAGTTCTAAAAAGAAAAATCTGAATTTAAAAAGCCTTATCATCCTGACAGTTATCTAGCTTGTGCTTTTGTAGTTGGTACTATTTCTCCTTGAAGACCAGTGGGTGTCTCCCTTCAGAAGGAACTGCTTCTTGTGTTTTGATACAATTAGTAATTAAACTTAATTTCAGCCATAGCCTTTTTTAAAAAATAATGTGAATTGAGATTACCTTGCATGCACACAGAGGAGGTGTTATGATCTAACAAAAGGCAAAGTTTGCAGAGCAAAGAAAAATATTCTTTTAGACCAGTAGATAACGGTCTAACAGATTATGTGTTTGTAATGTAAGATTTAAAAAGAATAGGAAAAAAGAGCTGTAGTAGTAAAAAATGGAGAATGAAAAAAAAAGCTTCAAAATAAGATTGTAAAACTCAGAACATATAAAAGAATAAAAAAACCTGGAAATACCATCTGTGATATGCTTATGTGCAAAACAGAATTAAATAAAGTCTTAAACACCTAACACATGTGATTTCAAACAGCACTGAAAAATAGTCATGCTTGTCCTTATAACCATTGTGTCCCTCTTTGCGAATTTTAGGTCGTGGTAGAATGTATATAGTCAGGGATAAAAGAGCGTTGGAATATCGAATAATTTGAGAGGTTTAATGTCCACCTAACATGCAGGGAATAAATTGTACTTCCCACTCAGTTGTGACCAGCGTACTTGGAGAAGGTTGGGGTGCTTTGAACTGTTTGGATGTGGAGTATAATTTCCTGGTGTATAAACAGTATACCTAGCACATTAGCTGGGTAGGAAAAATTATCAAGTTTAAAACTGTTTAGTGGTAATTTTCTCCTTGTCTTCCTGAAGCTGTTGATGTTGGGAGGACAGTTTACCACTCCTAGCCCCCTACTCAAGAGACTTAGCTTCTTGCTTCTTTGCAGACTTCGTGTGTGAGGTGAAGGCACAGTGGCTGTCAGCAGGCTGGTGATACTTCAGTTCCCTGCTTGTAAATAAGGAGAGTAGTGTCCCTCAGTTTCGTACGCCTTAGTAATTGCGATGCTATGCTGGTACTGAAGGAAGCATATTCCTCTTAACAATAAATCAGAACTAATGAAGTCCCCCCTTCAGCCTGGCCTTGCTTTGGAGAACTCAGAAGTCCTGGGAAGTAAAAGGTGGGATTCTCTTCATTCTGCAGGTGCAAACAACAAGAGGAATCACAGGAATCAGAGAGAGAAGAAACCAGATTACAAGGTCGCCTATGTACAGCTGGTGAGTTAACATAGTTGCTCGTGAGGAAAGAGAAAAGGACTGTTAACCAGCCAAGCTAGAAGTAATGTCCAGTGAATTGTCCTGGTCGGCTGAATATTTCTGCCAATTCTTTAATAATGACAATTTCTTTAATACATTCCAGAATATAAAGAGACTTAAATGACTCAGTCTGAAGATCAAATTCAAACAAGTGGTTAGTTTTCAAGTCCCGTATTGGTTTGAGGTCTGTGTGTAGGTTGTGGTCTGATGTCATATGGTGCTGCTTTGCCAGTGAGTTTCATGCTGACCCTGTACTCTGTGTGCTGGAAGGTTCATGACTTGTGTGGTTGATTGCTGAAACATCCAGTAAGTGAAAGAATATATTGTGAGGTTAGGGAACTTCTTATTAAAGGTTTCAGAGAAGACTAAGGCATATTCCTTGGAGAGCCTTTAGTCATGTCTAACAAGCATGCTTTGTGGCTGAACCAGGTTCTGAAACATGTGTTGTTTGCCCAGTGGAAAAGGAGCTTCATGTGCTTCTAAGTTTCTTTCACAACAGGGGCATATTATAGTTTCGACTTCTCTTGGGCTTACCTGT